GGGCGCGCACCGATGCACTGCTTGGCAAGCCATGTTGTGGCGGCGTCCCATATAAAGTGGAGGAAGATGGGCACAGATGTTAGCCCAGGGCCGTCTTCCTCAGCAAAAAAAGAGGAGGATTGGCGGATGTTAGCACAGGGCTGATCTCCTCACACACAAAAAATAAATAAATAAAAAAATAAAAAAAAATAAAAAAATAAAATATAATTTAAAATTGTTTAGAAAATGACGACAGTGAGAACACAACATATTAAAACATAGGGAATGGGACCAAAGCTGTATTCAAAGAAAACTGCAGTCTTAAAGGCTTCCAATATTTAAGAAAAACAAATGATTGAGCATTCAACTTAACTGTGATCTAGGTAGAGAAAACAGCCAGTGTAAAGGCCTGTTTGAGGAACAGCATAGAGGCCAATGTGGCTGGAGTAGTGAGTGAGAGGCAAGAGAAGTTGGAGGTTCCTTAAAACAAGATAGCGGAGGGCCAGAACCCACAGGGCCTTGCAGGGTCATTCAGGGCTGCTGGCTCTCTCTCTGAGTGAGATGAGAAAGCACAGGAGGGTGGTTGTGAGTTGAGAGTGACTGATGACTTACGCTTCAAAAGATCACTCAACTTTCTAAGAACAGACCCTGGGAGGTAGAAGGTTGGAAGAAAGGAGATCAGTTAGGAAGCTGCTGGAATAATCCAGATGAGAGATGACCAGGGTGATAGCAATGAAGGAATAAGATGTGGTCAGATCCTTGATAAATTTTGATGGTAAAACCAAAAGGATTTCCTGAAAAACTGGATGTGAAGTAAAAAAGAAAAGAATCAAGAATGACTTGGAGATTTTTGGCCTAAGTAAGCAGAAAAATGGAGCCGCCATAACTGAAGAAGAGGAAAATGTGAGAGAGAAGACAGCAGTTCTGTCATGGGTATGTTATCATTTGCGATGACTATCAGACCACCAGTTAGCAGCTGGATACATAAGTATGGCGCTCTGGGGTGAGGTCCAGTCTAAGAATTGAGCACAAAGGAGCTCACAAGTTAGAAAAGAGGAAACAGCAAGCTGAGAGCTGCTCACTGGACACAGCAACATGGAGGCCACTGATGGCCTTGATAAGAGCTGGTTCAGTGGTGTGGCAGGAACAAGTCTGCTTGCAGTGGGTTCAAGAGAGAACAGAAAGATATACATGTCACTCCTCTGAAAAGTTTTGTGGTTTTTTTCTTTGAAATTAAAAAAACACTAAAGTTAAAAGGCAAATGAAAAACTGGGAAAATATTTAGTACTCATCTCTAAAAGATAAAGATTCTTCCAAAAAACATAACCCTAAAACAACTGTAACACCTAAAAAAATTAAGAATTCCTTAATAACAAATATCCAGTCAGTGTTCAGATTTCCCTCCTTTCTCTTAAACTATTACTGAAGTTCTTTTGGTTTGAATCAAGGGCCAAATAAAGTGCCGTAAGTTGCACCTGCTATTGCTCCTAAGACTCTTAATCTACAGGCTGCCTCACCCTGCAACTGATTTCTTGAAGAGGAGTTTTCCCCCTGGGTATTGTGCTGACTGCAGGCCTATGGTGCATTTATCACAACCCTCTGTCCCCTGTACTGATAACGTGGCACTCAGAACTGGAGGCTTGATCAGACTCAGGTCCAGTTTTTTTTTTTTTTTTTTGGCAATAAAAGCATGGGTATTGTTTCGAACTTCTATAATGCCTGGCTGTTGCTCTTTTTGGGTTGTTAGCAGTCTTTCAGGATCGTTGCCTAGATCCATTAATTCATTAGGAGTTACAAAACTGTGATAGTCTAAAATTCTTTCTTCATTTTATTAGCTGGGATATATCTATAAAAAAAACTTTCTCCTTATCTATTTGGTTACCCTGGGGTACAGTTTGGAAAAAAAAAAAAAAAAAGGATAAATGTCAATTCTTTCTTTGATGGTTCCCTAGCATCCACTATAGGTAACTTTTAGGATCATTATGAGCTCGTGGATTTTTTTTTTTGTGAGGAAGACTAGCCCTGAGCTAACATCCGATGCCAATCCTCCTCTTTTCGCTGAGGAAGACTGGCCCTGGGCTAACATCCGTGCCCATCTTCCTCTACTCTATATGGGACGCCGCCACAGCATGGCTTGACAAGCAGTGCGTCAGTGCACCACCAAGCCGGCCCCATGAACTCATGGATTTTATGTATGTGTACCAATCAATTTTCATTATTATTCCCACTGTGGTCCAAACTGTCTCATCTTTGACCAGTGAGAGCCTCTTCAAACTGGCTCCTAAGTCTCTCTGCCGATCCCCAGTCTTTGCTAGTTTCACTGTTTCTGTTCTGACAAGACGTTCCAGACTCATCTTATCCTTTCCTGACCTAGCTATAGAACCAGCCATTACTCTAAGAAGCTCTGGTATCTTCTAGTAGGAAACCGTATTTAGCGACCACAATCTGGGTGCTGGGGTCACTAAAACACCAGAAGGAAATACACCAAAATGCTAATATTAGTGGGATAAGGGATTATGAGGAGTTTTATTTTTTTCTTTTAATTCATTTCTACATGTCCCAAATTTCTATATAAACAAGTATTGATAATCAGAAAAGAATAATAATCTTATTTTAAAAATTCCAGTTGGTTTACCAATTTTCAAGCTCCCAAAACTACTCTTTTAGTGAGTACAAAGAATTCTTTAAAGTGTATTACGTAAACCCTAGCCTTAGCACCTCAAAATCCTAACACAGGTTACCATTGCTCTCCATACCAAACACCTACAGACCTCCCCCTACAAAAAAGTAAAATTACTTACATCTCTCACAGATATTGTTTCTTCTACTATGATCTCCATCTCTGCCCCGGGCTGAACGTCACTCCCCACAGCGAAAAACAGGAACAGCTAGCATCAAGACAGAAGTATGAATGCAAATTAATCTGAATTTTAAAATTCTACAAATCTATTTATACTTTCAAAAAAGAAAAGCCAATGGTCCATGAAATTTTAATAAAAATCTCAAACTATGTAAAAACAAGACTACACTGGGTAATTTAATGTTGCAATTTAAACAATAATCTCCACTACCTAGAAATGTAAGATGCTGCATTACCAGTATTTTTACTCCTGATAAACATTTCTCACAGATATCATTTATTCTACTATGATCTCCATCTCTTTCTTGGTCATTCCTCAGAGGGATTTGCATTAACTGTGTTTTTTCCTCTGAGTCATTTGGTTGGGATCTTAAGTCTCTGTCTAGGGATTCCATAGACTGTAATTCACAAGACCCCACAGGAAAAACGTAAATCTGATCTCGTCAATTCAGTTCCTTATAGCCCTACTTTTCCTTCCTAACAACTTCCCTTGTCACGTTTTTCTTCCTGTCAGCCTGTCATGCACTATTTGTTAAGAGTTCAGGGGAAGAACAAATTAAAGGGGAGGTAACTGAGAAACTAATGAAAGTGGATCCAGGAACCATGGGAATCCGGACCTGAGGCCAGCTTACCTGATACAGACTTAAGAATAATGACATTATTATGACTTTTGGACTGTGATAAAAATTTATTAAATAGGTAGGGCTTCTGGCAAAGGTCAACCTGATGGTATTTTATACAGAAAATGAATACTGATAAAGACAAAGCTGTTGTGAGTCTATTAAATTATTGCAGAGTAATTAAGTCCAAAATCAATATAATGTATTTCATTAAATCTAAAATGCTGCTGGATGTTACTCATTATTTATGTACTACTAGGTAAGAAAAAACAGTGCCAGCTACAACTGCAGGATGCCATTGATTGTAAGATGCATCCTAATCTTACAGATGTTAAAATGTGGTGGAGAGCCAGCCTTGATGGTCTAGTGGTTAATGTTTGGCGTACACTGCTTCGGCGCCCCGGGGTTTGTTTCCTGGTCGCGGAACCACACCACCCGTCGGTTGCCAGGCTGTGGCGGCAGCTCACATAGAAGAACTAGAACGACTTACAACTAGGATATACAAATATGTACTGGGGCTTTGGGAGAAAAAAAAAAGAGGCAGATTGGCAACAGATGTTAGCTCAGGGCGCACCTTTCCCTGCCAAAAAAAAAAAAAAAAAAAAGTAGGTGGAAAAAAGGGTGTATTTTAGAATTTATGAAAAATGGTGGTTGAAACTGGTGGCCACTCAACTTTAAAGATCCCCCTTAACCACAAAATTTTCATGGAAAAAGAAACTTATGAATATACTTTGACATAATATTTTTTATTTAAACACAGAGAACTATATGGATGTATTCTTAAAATAAAAGGTATCATTTAAGGAAAAGAAAACTTTTAAGAAAAACAATATTACTGCAGCAGTTAAGGTACAGATTACAACATTAAGAGCTCCTGATTATTGGAAGGCTGATTTTGTTCTGTCAGGCAACCTCATGTTACCTGAGAGGAAGTCGGTGCTTTTCCAGGACACAGTCCCAATGAACTCCCCATCTTCAACTCTGCTTCCTTCAAAGTATAATTGTCTGGGACTATAAAGAATTTTGATAACATGATGAATGGTGTTAATTCCTACCTCTCTGGGCAAAATAACATACTCAAATCAGTCTTTCTTTGAAAGTCAAGAATGTCAAGAAAGAAAAAAGAATGAGTCACAGTACTCCATGCAAAAGGATTACATATTCCAGAGTTCTGTTTGATTTTCAATTTCCACACCCTATAATAAATTATTCTTATCTGTACAACAATGCTAAGAAATAAGAGGCAGTTATGAATGTTCTAGATTCACACTGTTGTTCACACAGATTAAAAGCTCGATACTCTGAATTGATTCATGAATGGTGGACTAGCTTCTTCCAAGTTTAAAGCTGTTATGGTGACTACCATCAATAATTAGACTAAATTAAGTCTAATGACAAGATGCATCACAGAGGTAAGAACAAAGACTCTATTCCATAACCGATATCGCAATAAAATTAGCAAAACAAGTAAAAACTTTGACAATAAACCTAGAAAGATATAACTAGATCAAAACCATGACTAAAACAAGGATCAGCTAATCAGAAAGACAGGTATTGTACTTTAGAAAACAGAAGTGTGTGAATTTTCGGTTAAGGTTTTCTTTAATGCACGAGGAAGACACCTGGAATGACAATATGTCCTATAAATCAGTTTCTAAAAGGTAATTTAAGAATATTAGGTATTGGAAATCATTATTTAAAGCAAAAGTGTTAAGAAAGATCAATGACATGAATATGTGTCAGCTTTTGAAGGCTACCAAAAAGATTTACCTGGACAAAGCAGCTTCCCATTTCTATCAATAGGTCTCAAACAGCTGTTCTCAGCTATAAATGAAAAGAAGCTGGTTAGTGCCCCAAACAAAGAAAACTAAAGAGAGATGCTCTCTTAGCAGGCAGTTACAATAAGCTAAAAAAACAAACAAAACCCCACCCCCCAACAACCAAAAGACAAGTACAAGCAATCTTCACTTTGCACGGTAGTGCAAAACTGTAAAAATGCCTCTGCAAGCAGAAAACGGCAAATCAACCTTAGTAACAATCAGAAAAATCACAGTTGTTCTGTGATCTTTAAAAATTTTTGTCAAAACATTTAAAACTGTCAGTTATACATGTATAGTGAAGTGAAAAAAAAATAGCAAAACTAGTATTTACACTGTAATTTAAAACACTAGAAACACTGAGAATTAAAATGTTTTATTTCTTTGAAAAAAGATATTGAAAATAGTTAAACAGGGCTTGTTTTTTTCTTCTCATTGTAGAGCTCACAATACGGAGCGAGTATCTTTTCTATTGCCTGGCGAACTGTCGTACTCTCAGTTTGGATCAGCTTCTAGTATTTTATATTTTGTGCTTCAATGTCATGAAATATCTCCCAGAGCTGCTTTAATGTGAGGTTTTTTGCTGGCGTCAGTTCCCCTGGGATATCTTCATCCTTCTCGTCATGACCACTTTCCTCATTTCTGTCAATAAGTTCACATTCATTAAGTTCCTCTGGCTGCATACCTAAAGTCTCTTGAATGACAGCAGTGTCAACATTCCCATGGTCAGCTATTTCTTCTGGAACTCCACATACTTTTGTTTCTTTGCTGCACTTTCATCTTTGTTGGCCAATTCGATTATCCATCCTTGTAAAGTGTTATGTGGGTTTACCATTGGGAGAAAAGGAGGCAATACACTACACACTTTGCTGTCTGTGGGGTGCAATTAATAACAGGTATGCAGTGACCCAATCACTGACAGACTGGAAACAGTGAAGTCATTAGTCACTGATCAGAATGCACATCTGCTATTTACGTCATGATCTGTGGAGTGAAGAGCTAGTAGCCAAGTTTGTACTTTATGCAATTACTCCATTAATATCTCTGGTGGTAGCTGAAACGTGAACCTTACTGCTGGGTAACTGATGTTACATAATGAACTGTGGTAACTGAAATTCATGCATATTGGAATTATACAGAGACTGCCTATATTTAAAATATGTCAGGTGATTTTTTATGCTTATTAAATGGATTAGGGGGCCGGCCCCGTGGCTTAGTGGTTAAGTGCGCGCGCTCTGCTGCTGGCGGCCCGGGTTCGGATCCTGGGCATGCACCGACGCACTGCTTCTCCGGCCATGCTGAGGCCGCGTCCCACGTACAGCAACTAGAAGGATGTGCAGCTATGACATACAACTATCTACTGGGGTTTTTTGGGGGGGGGGCGAATTAAAAAAAAATTAAAAAAATTAAATGGATTAGGGCCAGCGTGCCCTAAATTTGAGGATGCAAAAATTCCTGCTTTATGGGAAGGAGCACACCAGGTTCTTAGTCCAAACAGAATTCTTACAGAATCAGATATGAAGTGGGGGGTTGGGAGGGGTGGAGCCTTCTGACAAGGCAAGAACAGCATGGGCCTTGGAAGTTCTAACTTTTTAGACCATGGCAGAATCTCCCTCTGAGATTCCTGAGTTCTGTTATCTTCTACTACAGTAATGCGAGGCTAGCATGTAATTCTAATATAAATTTCTTGACAACTGAAACAACCTATGAAGAGTTCTCCAATTTACAAAATGCATTTAAACACTGTTTCCTTAAAATTTTTTCACTTTCACTCAACAAACACCGTGTGTCTTCTATGTGCCAGGCACTGTTCTAGAAGCTGACAACATAGTAGTAAGCAAAACAGCCATGGACTCTGCCCTCTAAGAGCCTCGTCTAATGGGAGAGGTGGACATTCATCAGCAAACACAGGTAGTTACAGTGTAAGTGCTATGAAGGGAAGATCAGGGTGTCACGAGAGTAAAACAGAGATGAACTGAGACTGTGTGGTAAGGGATGACAGGAGAAGTGACATTTCTGCTAAGACCAAAGGAACGACTGAAGTTAGCAGATGAAGAGTAAAGGGAAGAGAGTTCAAAGACGGATGACAGCACTAGGAGTCTTGGGGGTGGAAGAGAGCTTGTGCACTAGACACTCACAGAAAGGCAGTACGGGAAGTGTGTTGGGAATAAGCAGACTGCAATGAGGTTGGTTAGGTGGTGGTCACATGAGCAGGCTCCCCCAGGCCAGGCTAAGGCAGTAGCCTCCGTGCAGTGGAAGAGCCCTACAGGGTTCTGAGCAGAGCAGTGACAAGACCTGACTCAGAGACACCGAAGACCACTTGCTATAGGAAGAATGGTCTGGAGGTAAGCAAGAACAGAAGAAGGGAGACCTGTTACATGGGAAGACAATGAACTATTCTTTGAATAAACCATACACTTTTAATCAACTTGATTGAGGTATAATAAAACATATCCAGTTGAAGTATATAATTCAAAGAGTTAATATAAATACTTGGCAACCACCAGCAAATCGAGATACAATTTGCACCACCCCCCAAAATTCCTTCGTGTCAAACCCCTACCCTCAATCTTGACCTGCCTCTCTAACTATGGCTTAGTTTTTGCACCTATTTCTGGATTTTCAATGTAGTTCCATTGTAAATATTTTAGGCTTTTCTTTTTTGAAAATTTCATATCAATACAATCATAAGCATATTTATTCTGCATCTAGCTTCTTTTGCCTGGCATAATGTCTTTGAGATTCACCCATGTTTTACATAGGGTGGTAGTTCATTGTTTTTATTGAAAAATAGTATCCCATTGTACAGATACATCACAATTTGTTCATCCATTCACCAGCTCAAGGGCATCTGAGTTGTTTCTGGCTTTTGGTTATGAACACTTATGTACAGTATTTGTAAGGATATTATACATTTTAAATTTTTTTGGGTAAATATCTAGGAGAATTTGTAAGTGAATGTTTCAATTCATCAGAAACAAGCTAACTCTTTACCAGAGTGTACCATTTTACACTACCACCAGCAACACGTGGGAGTTGCAGTTGCTCCACATCTTCGCTAACACTTGGTTTTTGTCAGTAGTTCAAATTTTAATCATTCTAAGCAGTGTGTAGTCATGTGTCATTATGGTTTTAGTTTGATGGCTAATGATACTGATATCCTTCTCTGTGCTTATTGTTCATTCATAGGTAGGTCTTCTTCTGTAAAGTGTGCACCCAATTTGGGTTAGGTTGTCTTCTGATTAGGTTGCAAGTATTTTTCATATATCCTGGATACAAGTCTACTGTCAAATGTGTGTTTTATAAATTTTTTCTTCCAGTTTGTGGCTTTCCTTTTCAAATACCTTTGAAGAACAGAAGTTTAAAATTTTGATGTAGTCCAATTTATTAGTTTTTTCTTTCATAGTTTGTGCTTTTTGAGTCCTATTTAAAAATACCTTTTCCTATGGTAAAAGTAACAAAGTTTTCTCATATATTTTCTCCCAGAAATTTTATAGTTTTAGGTTTTAACATTTAGGTCTATGATCCATTTACATGATGTAAGGCAAAGCTGGAGGTTCATTTTTGCATCTATGGATATCCAATTGGTCCAGCACTGTATGCTGAAATATACCATCTTTCCCCCTGGAAATACCTTGGTGCTTTTGTTGAAAGTCAACTGACTATATATGTTTGCACCTACTTCTGGATTCTCAATGTAGTTCCATTGTAAATATTTTAGGCTTTAAAAACCACATGTGATCTCTTGCACATTGTTTTTCTTAAAAGAGCCCTTTAAAAGTGTAAAAACTATTCTTAGCTCACTGGCTGTACAGAAACAGGTTGTAGGCCATAGCTTGCTGACCTCTGCTCCATATGTCTACTCTTATGCCAATGTAGACAGTCTTGATTACTACAGCTTTAGAGTAAGTCTTGAAATTAGATAGTGCAACTCCTTCAATTTTGTTCTTTTTTTCCAAAAGTGTTACAGATACTTTAGGTTCTCTGCATTTCCATAAAAATTTAAGAATTAGCTTGTCAATTTCTACCAAAAAAAACCCTGCTAAGATTTTGAGTGAGAACGCACTGAATCTACAAATCAATTTTGAGAGAATTAGCCTCTTAACAATACTGCGTCTTGCAATCCAAGAACATGGTACATCACTCTATTTATTCAGATCTTCTTTTATTTTTCACACCAATTTTTTTTTATTGATGTCATAATAGTTTATAACATTGTGAAAATTTAGTTGTACATTATTGTTTGTCAGTCACCACATAAAATGCGCCCCTCACACCAATGTCTTCTAGTTTTCAGTGTACAGGTCTTGCATATATTTTGTTAAATTTATCCTCAAGTATTTCATGATATTTTACACTATTATAAATGTTTTCTTAATTTTATTTTCCATTTTTTTCGGTGCTAGTAGATAAACATACAGTGAATTTTTGTGTATTGATTTTGAGTTCTTGTTAAACTCACTTATTAATTTTAGTAGCTTTTTAATAGAATCCTTAGGATATACAAATAGACAAGAAGCACCTCAATAGTGCACACCATCACTGCATTAGGAAAATGCAATTGAACACACAACGAGATACCAATTCATATTCACTAGAATGGCTATAATGATAACGACAGACAATTACAAATATTGGCAAGGATATGGAGAAATTGTAACCTTGCTACATTGTTAGTGGGGATGTAAATGGTTCAGCTACTTTGGAAAGTAGTTTGGCAGTTCCTTATAAAGTTAAACATAAATTTGCCATACGACCTAGCAATTCCAATCCTGTATATCTACCCAAGAGAAGCGAAAACATATGTCCACACAAAGACTTACATGCAAATGTTTACAGCAGTATTATTGATAAAAGCCAAAAAGTGGAAACAATCCAAATGTCCATCAATTGGTGAATGGATAAACAAAATGTGATATATCCATACAATGGAATGCTAGTCAGCAATAAAAAGGAACAAACCACTGATACACGCTGAATTATGAATGAACCTCAAAAACAGTATACTAAATGAAAGAAGCCAGACACAAGAGACTACGTATGATATGGTTCCATTTACTTGAAATGACGAGAAAAGCAGGTCTACAGAGACACAAAGTAGATGAGTGGTTGTCAGGGGCTTGGAATGCAAAAAAGGTGCAAGGGATCTTTTTGGAGTGATGGCAAGTTCTAAAACTAGATTGCGCTGATGGTTATACAATTCTATAAATTTACTAATAATCACTGAATTACACTTAAAATGGGTGTTTGATGGTATGTACTCTACACTTCAATAAAGCTGTTAAAGCAAATCTAATGCTGAGTGAATAGTGAGTTTGCAGCATATTATATTATGATAGAATTTATATAAATGTAAAAATACAATATACACACATACATGGAAATATAATATATAGTACAATATGAATACATACACTAGATAAAGACCCAAATCAGATATACTGGTTGCATCTGGGGAGGGAGAGAGAATAGGTCTGAGGAGGAGAACACAGAGGACTTTATTTGCAATGTTTCAAACAAAAACAAACACATGACAATATGTTAACTTTTGCCCATTTTGGGTGGCAGGTACATGAGCTTTCCCTAAATTATTTTTTGTACTCTCTCATATTTTTTCCATTAAAAATAAAAACTAAATTAAACCAAAAAACCAAAAGCAAACGAAAATGATTACCTAGTTCCTTCATTAATTTTAATTCCTTTATGGCTTTAATTCGAATATCGAACACCACCTAAAACAGAGAAATAAACTAATGACTGTGTATTAGTTGGAAACAATGGGAGGAGAGGAAAATGAAAATTGTCAGTCTGTGCATATACAGATATCCCTGAAATTCATTTTCTCATTTCTACAAAGTCAAAAGCAAAAACTTAGATCTTAATAGTTAAGTTTTTATCAAACTGATGTTAACTGGAACGGAAAAGATACCCACAGAAAACTAAAGAAACAATTCTAGCTAGAAAGGCAAAAAGTTGACAAACCACTAACCTTTCTGACAAGAGCAAACACAAGAAACTGCAAGTAATCCCATTTCCTTACGTTAGGAATGATGAATTCAGGGCCAACAAACGTAAGTAATAAAGAAATGTACAATACTAATCCAACGGCACTATGTAAATTACTTTCCTTTTTTTTTTTTTTTTTTTTTTTTAGGTTAGGCTAATTGCCTCTAGGGCACAAAATCATGGAAACTTAGGTGTAAAAATGATGTCAGAGATCATCGACTCTACCCTCCCACCAGAGCCTCACCCTGTGCCAACAAGGAACAGAGACTGAAGGAATCAGGGACTTCACCAAAGTTTCCCACTTAGGGTGAGGGGTGGGAGGTCTCCTGAGTTTTAGTGCATTGGTCTTACACTGTCCCCTCTACTACACCAACAAATATTAATGCACCTTAAGAAACAATAATATTTACAGAAAACATTCTAATAAGTTTCTTTTAATGATACAGAAAAAAAACTCAACAGATTGAGACTACATAAATATAAAAAGATGAAACCAGTATCATAGTCTTCAAATGGAAGACTGAAGGAATTCCTTTTAAGAGCAGTTCGCTTTATAAACAGCACAGAGTATAATGCAGAGAAATTTAAGTTAAACTTAAAAAAACCCAACCCAACACAAAAGCAAAACACATATACCTGGTTTAAAAAATACTGAAAAGACCCTTGAAAATATTTTATATTTATCAAAGCCAGAGGGTTCGATGTACTAATTAAACAGGTAACTTGCACATTCTAATTCTAGGCTTTGGAGGAAAAAAAAGGCATATATTTTCTTAAAAACATGCCAAGGGCTAATAATACAGGTGAACAGGCAATAATAAGATGTTTAAAATAAAAAGTTGATTTCTTAAGATTTAGAAATCTACTGAGACAACTGTTCTGAAAGATTAAGGTATTGCTTTCTAAATAAAATTCTGTTAACTAAAAAACCATCAACCAAACTTTAATTACAATCTACTCACTGTGTTAACAGTTGCTGATATTTTAACTTGCTCTTCTTCAGATTCTATTTCACATAAATTTTTAACTTGGAGCCAGTCAATCTCATTCATACTAGCGATCCATTGCCCTTGTTTCGCCAATAAACTGTAGGTAAAAAGATGTTTAAAAAAGGTGTCTTTACACAGCACTTTTATGAATCAGAATATTAATACTTTTCCTTAGGCTCTACTTCCAAAATTCTGCATGTGTCCCTCAATGTGACTAATTAAAGGTGACCAAGTTCTACCGAGTTGGCTTTTTGAAAGTTGACTATCTTTTTAGGGTAGTGTTAGGTAGTGTTCTACGGAGTCTATATTCACAACTCCAAATATTTTTGCCCTCTACAAATAACTGGTTGCCACAATTTTCAAAGAGAACCGTTGTAACTGAACGATAAGTTGCTGACTTCTGCCCGCACACTGGAATCACTAGGGGAGCTTTAAGAGAGTACCTACACCAGAAGCCCACCCGTAGGATTTAGACTTAGTCCTTTTAATAACAGGACGGCCATGTGTAGTTGTGCAGACCAACACTGAGTAAAAAGGCCACATCTAAGGGGTATCATGCGCATCATAAACATTGTATATTTATATTTTTATTATAGTTTTATGATAGCAGATGGCAGTAAGGTGTCTTATTCTAACGAAATTTTCCTACAGATGGTAAAAGGGTCTTGAGGAAGGAGTGACTTCTAATTCACACAGAGGCACTGAATGGGCTGGCAGAAGTCCTCTTTGGGAGTGCGTATCCAAGCCCTAGAACATAATTCTACTCTTCATTTCAGTTATTCCACCCTGGGACTCCACCTTAAGTTAGCAATCCTATACACAGGAAAGTTCTAAGCACCCAGATGTTCCCTGAGACTACCTTAAAACAGGAAAAACTGAATGATGATGACAATGACGATGTTGCTAGCTAAAATATCTAGCATTTACTATGTGCAAACACTTTGTAAGCACCTTTTTTACTCCTTACAACTCTATGAAGTTGGTACTAACTACTATCCCCCTTCTATAGAAGAAGAAACTGAGCAGAGAGATGAAGTAACTTGCCCATGGTCTCACTGCTAGTCAGTGACAAAGCTGGGAACAAACCCAGGCAGCCGGCTCCAGAGTCCCTGTCCTTACCCACTACACGTACTGCCTCACACAGGAGCTGTCAGGTAAACAATAACATCAACACAGAACACTAGGCAGCCATGAAACGAGGCTTATGAAGAGTCTACAGACACGGGGGGACAGCAAAAACTATTAAGCTACAAAATAGTCATTATGTCTAAAAAGGAAAAACCTCCAAAACAAAAAACTAATTATTTCAGTTCAGAAAAACAGGAAAGCTAACAGTGCCTGACACTGCACAGGTAGTATGGTGATGCTGCTGGGGCTCCTGTCTTCACTTCTGTATTTCCCAAATCCTAATAAATGTATATTACTTTTTATAAAGGAATATATAATAAGCTTTTTATTAAATGAACAAGGTGGGGAAATAAATGTCTGGAAAACACCTGTCCAAAAGAGTAACAGTGATAAATGTAATACAAAATAAATACAGTTCACAAGTGCTCTGCCTCCATGTATCACAGCCACCATAAACAATAATACAGAGACTGCAATCTAAGTACATTCACAGCACTGATCAAGCAGGGAACCGATTCACTGTTTGTAACCTCAAGTCTTCAGTGTACTGAAATTTGGGGTGGTTACAGTATAGACAAATCGACTACAGAAATATAGTGTAACAGACACGGATAACAAAACCGGAGAGAGGCAGCACTTCTGAGCTTCAGCTGGGACTTACAGGAATCAAGGGTATAATTCCCATGTAATTGCTCATCTGGGCAACTGGGAGGATCTCAAGACTCATAAAAAGGATTATAACAAAAAACTGAATTGCCTTATGGGATTCTTGTGACAAAATATTCAGACAAATTTATCTATGATTTTAGTGTCCTCCTTGTGAAAAATTTCAGGAACTTTCGTTGGGAAAACGTGCCTTCAGTTTTATAATGAGTGCTAAGCAGAATTCATTTGCTAGGATTCTGCTTTATAGCCAACTAATCTAGACTATATTTAGTCTATACCTACATTATTTAGTTACCACATTTACCAAAAATAAAAAAAATCACATTACAATATCATTTTTTCTCAAGTTGCCTAACCTAGAACATTCCTGTTTACAACATATAGAACATAATGCCTAGGAATAAAAAGAAACATTTAACTCTTATCATTATTAAAATAAAGCTTTAGAGTTCTAAGAGATAGTACTGTAATTAAAATATAGTCATGCTTCACTTAACGACAGGATACTTTCCGAGAAATGCGTCGTTAAGCGATTTCGTCGTTGTGTGAGCATCAGAGTGTACTTACACAAACCTAGATGGTACAGACTACTACACACCTAGGCTGTATGGTACTAATCTTATGGGACCACTGTTGTATATGTGGTCGTCACTGACCAAAATGTCTTTATGCAGCTAGCACGACTGTAACTTAAAAAAGAATTCTCTTTTTAGCGAGTTACCTCTTATCATCATTAGAATCCTGAATTAAAATTGAGCTTCCATTTCTGACACCTTGTTCTCTGAATGTCTTCTTAAAGTCTTCCTTGGGAATGGTGGTCCAGCTCTTTTCTCCCATAGATTCAGTATTGTTGATTAAGAGGACACCTACTGGGATTGCTAAAGCTGTGAATACAGCGCCTACTTCTGCATTAGCTGGAAAGACATGTGGAAATTCTATCAACTGCTGACACGTTTCTCCTTCACTGCTTGTTGCCAGATGAAGAACATTTAAGAGCAGAGGTTCACAGTCACTACCAGTTGGAATCTGGATTCCGCCAACCTACAATAATATCAAGACAACCATTAGTATAGTTTATATTTGCCAAAATCAAGTCAACATAATAACGTAGTAAAAGACTACTCTTGTAGAACAATTCTCATTTTTTTTCTTTTCAAATGAAATAAAATTTTCACAAATGTCTTTTAAGTATCAGAAGAACAATTTTTCTTTTGAAATTTTCTCTTGGCCATCTTTTATTTTTTAGGAGAGAAATCTGGAGTGCAGATAGAGATGTATGAGTCCTCAGTGGTGGTAATGAAGCCTTGGAAATATACGAGATGGACCAAGGACAGTCCACCCAGTGGCTGAGATAGTCCTCGCCCCTTTCTTGATGTAGAACATTCACTCTGCTCCTACAAGTCACCTCCATTCCCTAACTCAGTAGAGCTATTCGCCCCCTTCTGCATTCCCACAGGGACACACAGCCTGGCGCAATGGAGGTGCTCAACAAATCTCTCTTTAACAGGTAACTAACAATGACTGAACCTAAAACTGATTGGACATTTCGGCAGCTTTCTAATATCTAACTGCCTTCAGATATACTGAATACAATTTCATTAGAGTGACTTAAAAAAAAATCCAAAACTATCATGAGTATTGCTTCAACACTTTTTACCTCCACCCCATTCCATACAAAGATGTCTTCCCCATCAGCAATTTCAATTTCACTCAGTGTCAGGTCATCTCCTAGGAAGACGAGATTATCAGTGAGACAATTTATCATGATCATCAAACACAATTTAACTAAAGAAAGAGCTGAGATACTTTAATACTTGTTTGAAAAAGCATTCTCCTTAAGGAAAATTAAGAAAAAGGCAGTAATTATGGTTATGATACTGACATTGTTTTATATTATTTTTATCTTTATTCCTTCCATCACTCTTTAGTTTTTTTTTCATTTATGTAAGCATTTCCCCATGTTGTTACATAAGTTTTATGAGCATGATAGCAGAAAAAAAGAGTTAATATAAATGTCAATTGTACTGGACATCGTGAACAGGAGTAAGGCTTCGGCATCAAATAGTCCTAGCGCCACCACTAATTAGCTGTTCAAGTCTCTACACTTCAGTTTTCTCATTTATGAAATGGGGATAAAAGAATTTTGTGAAAATCAAATGAGATAATTCACATCAAACATTTACCTCAGTATTTGGCACAATGAAGTCTGAAATAAATGTTACTGTTGCTACTGCTATTTTTATTGTTTTGTTGTTATTTAAAGGAAGTAAACGCTTTTAAGCTCTCCAAGTACTTCTGTTTGTTTTGCCACAAAATCTGAAGCTGAGTGGGGTAAAAAATCAAGTCACATAAATAAGATTCAAATAGTTTCAAACCATTTGCTCAAAAATCTGTGGTAATATAAAAAAATTCCAAAACCTTTAAAAAAATTTTTTCGGTAGAGAGGTAGCCTTAACTTCAGAAAACATAAAATGTTTCCATGTTAGCAAAATTTCACACATTACATATATCGACTACATTATAAATTGGATAAATAATTCGTTTGAAAACTGACAATGTGATGATAATCTACATAGTTAAGAAAGAAGTAGGCAGGGGAAAGACTGGCAAAAAGTAGAAAATCACGGATGAGCCCCACAAAAATATAAATATGTAAAATGAGTTGCTGTGTTTTAATATTCATCTTACCATCAAGCGTCTGGTAAACATGAAGTCCTGCTGGTACAAACTTTGCAACACTAAGAACCATATCTCCTTCCCAAAATTCTAACAGCTAAAGAATATTAAGGAAAGAAAAGAGAACAATGAAAAGTAACACATATATCACACTTCCAGGTTAAGTAAGAAGAGCACTGTGCCAATTTACATACGGATGATAAAGGGTGCAAACAAATGAATTCTCCCATCCCAACCCAACACCACAAGTGTGGAAAGAAGACATCATTCATTGTTTAGTCAAATCCAGGATGGCTAGTTCATCCACTGGTGATGGGAGAATCTTGGCACACACCAAGAGCAAACGACCATTTAAACAATTCTACTTAATTCACAGGAAGACCGCTTTCATCAGAAGGCAAACTCATCAGCATGCCAGCCCAGGAATCTTTGCCCAAAAAAGCAAAAATCATTTGTTCAATCAGCACTGTTCAGGGAAAAGCAGCACTGACTCTAGCAGACACTAATATTCTCGTTACCTGAAAGGAACATCTCCCACTGTAAATGTGAAAAATGGCATTACCAGTTTATATAATAGACTACCAGGGATCTGTTCTTTAAGTTTCTAGATTCAAGACTCTGGGGACTGTGGTAATCTTGCCAAAATAACATCACCCACAAAAGTCAGTCCTATTTAGTTTCCCTCCACAATACTATAAGACTGTTCTCTTAAAAAGAAATTTCATATTTACAAGTGATTAGTTAACCGTGTCAATCTCACAGCCTCTTGCCAGTGGCTTACTTCTGAGATAACAGAGATGTACATTTAATAATTTTATTTATTTATTTTTTCCCCCAAAGCCCCAGAGAATAGTTGTATGTCATAGCTGCACGTCCTTCTAGTCGCTGTATGTGGGACGCGGCCTCAGCATGTCCAGAGAAGCAGTGCCTCAGTGCGCGCCCAGGATCTGAACCCAGGCCGCCGACACCGCAGTGCGCACACGTAACCGCTAAGCCATGGGGCCGGTCCTAGATGTACATTTAAAACAGAGTGGAGTGAATCTAAAACTTATAAAGGAGAATAAGGTCTTTTCTATTTGAAATGTCACCCTAGACACGGTCAAATCTCCAAGTCCATCTTTATCAACACTGCCAGGATTGGCTCAGAAATGAACTTTTAATGCAAAAGTTCAGAAATATTAGATAATTTTAGAAATTCTGATACTGACCCAACATCTAAATATCATTCAAATCAACTAAAGGTAAAAAAGAAAGTGGCCTGCTTTTCTTTGTACAAGAGAAAAGTCAAAAGAAAGTTAATCACTTGGATAATTGATAGTTTTTCAGAAAATTTATTTATTTCTGGAAAAAAAGCTTCCTTTTCCTTGATCAGGAAGTATTGTGGGGTGAAGAAACACGATCAAGAGAAAAGAAAGTAGGGAGACCAGGGCTAGAGTCCTAGTTCAACTACTAACCAGGTGTCTGACCACAGGCAAGTCACTAGACCTCTTTAAATCACAATTTCTTCACCTTTAAAATGGGGTTAGCCCACCCTCATGAGGTTAAAAGAACCAAATGACACAATTTACATGAAAGCACTGTAAGTAAAATAAAGACCACCTCTGTTGTTATCATTAAAATACAGCTGGATAAATTATTTACAGACAATGATTAAATAGATATTTGTTTTTATTAGAGACTAGTAGATATTTTCCTTCATTCAGGAATCTTACTAATAAATGCTCTTCTATACTGCAACGTAGAAAAATTAGCTGCTTTTATTTGTTTAGTAGTTCTTGGTTTTAGGCAACATGCTTATCTTTATCTTTTCACTCCATTTAACATAATTCTTCTCTATTTATTTTTCCAAAAAAGAGACTACCTTATACTCCTTCTCTCCTCAAAATAAAATATACCAGGCTTGGCTCTCCACCTGAAAACCTGCTGGCAGGACACTGGAGTCTTGTCCGTGCAGAAAAGCCTCTCTAAAAACTCACAAGTAAGGGGAGAACGTTTGGGCCATCCCTCTATGGAAGTGGCAGGTGTAGGATTTTCCTACGCAGCTTTGAAAATTAACAGTTGTATCCTAAATAGGATTTTCAAAAAGAGAGATCCAGCTTGAGATGGACTTTAAAGTCTAAATTAAGAGGAAGTAAGGCTAAATTACCTGAAATATTGACTGTCGAAGGTCTCCTAAAGTTTTTCTTTTATCAAAGGTCAAATCCCACATGCTTTCTGTTTGAGAGACCACAGGATGCAGAGCCCCGTTGAAGAACTGATAATGAGGGCCCAGGTGGAGATGTAGTTCAAAATTATTGTCTGTAGAATCACATTCTGCCCTAATTTAAAGAGGCATAAAAAATACTTAAATGCTATGTTTTTATAACAGACACTACTTCTTCTCAAACCAAAAATATTTAATTTACAATACAAACAAGATCTTTATTCCACCTAAGTCATTATAATTAACATCCTTTTCTTCCAGCTCCAAAATGATTCATTTTAGTTTCTCAATCAATAGCAAAAATTCAGCTCTGCCACCATGAATTCCAAGGAAAAATTGTTTTAACATACACTGTGCAACGTGACTCTGAACAAATACTGACACTCAAACACTTCCAATCCTAAGATTATATTATAGTCATGAATAAAATGCCGGAAACTTGCTTCTAAAATTGTGTTAAGTACCAGATTTACAACTTCTATTTCATCCTTACTTCCACTAAACCCCACAGACTCTCCCATAAAATATTTGCAGTCGCTCTCATGATCCTCTTGAGTCTACTCTCTCCAGGTCAAATGTTCTCAGCATCAGCCTCGCACTGGCCGCTCTTTTCTGAATCTGCTCAGCTGCTCTGAAGCATGGTGCCAAACACTACTCTAGGCAGTCTGACCAATGGAGAGTTGGATGAGGCTTATTGCCATGATTCAGTTACTTCAGACACAACTCTATTAATGTGGTCAAAGACAGCATTAGCTATTTTTGATGACCACATTAGAGAGTTTAGTGCTGGCTCACTAAAACCCCTAAAGTTGTTTTGGTTTTTTTTTTTTACCAACTGCTAATCAACACCACTCAAGCAGGTTATTTTTTACACTTAAAATATCTTACTGTTAAGTTTTTATCTTCTTAGTGTCTTGATTTGAGATTTCCTTCGATGTTGGTTTGTCATTTAATCTACCTGCTATTTTTTTTCCGCTAGCTCCAAGTCAATAATAAAAATGTTGAACACATCCCTGCCACATAATCAGCCACTTGGCTCCATAAGGAGACCATGAGAACATCCATTTCCCTAACCCAATACCCCACCAACCCTGCCAGAGAACAAATAAAGAAACAGTTCTTCAGGGTCCAAGATTAGGGCTCAAAAGAGAATGCTGAGATCATCAAGTTCTCACAAACCATCCCTTTAAGAATCCAGTATAGGTTTTTGCCCAAGATTGACACTAAGCCCAAGAGTCTATAGAATCCACATTTCCTTCCTTTCGCCCACCTCTCGTCTTCTGTCACTATGTGACAGTTCTCCACAACTACTTAAACATGAGAGGTGATTTTCACATCAGGCTCTCTTTGTACCAAGGGAATTACCTGACAGAACAGGATACAATTCATTTAGTGCAACTACGTGCTCACCGATTTCTCTAGTCTTCTTAGCGATGGCCATTTATTTGTGTGTCATTATTTCACTCACTCTCACAGAGGATAATTTCAAAGTAAAAGATACTCTCACTATAAAAATTAAGCAGCTAAGCAGACACTGGAATTAACTAGTTGACTTTTCTTTTTAAATTTTCATTATTGAATACTTAAGACCTAAATTAGATCTTCACTCTCCAGAAAAACCATTCAAACTCTAGAACTAGTTAAAATTACCTTTTTGTTTGCAGTTCAAGGTTGGCTGCATCCATTTCATTCAGCAAATGACGTGGAACTCTGTATCTTGGATTAGCTCGAGCTGTGAACAAAACTTTTCATTAATTAGTGCTGACTAAATGAAATCTGGTTGCTGAAGAGTAACATGGAAAACTAGAAAGGACTGTGCTGGGAGCTAGGAAAGCTTCTACCAACTATCTGTGTAAACATTAATTTTCTCTGGATCTCAAGTTTTCCCATCTGAAAAATGAAAACATTAGAACAAATGAAAGGTAAACAGTTTTAAGCCAAGCTAGAAGAATTCCATTTCTTCAACTCTCTTTAAATATACTTTTTATTTTTTTTTTCTGCCTGCAAGTTGTACTCTTGGCTTTTCATTGGTCTGTTTTTTATTTTTTATTTTATTTTTTATTTATTTATTTATTTAATTTTTTCCCCCAAAGCTCCAGTAGATAGTTGTACGTCACAGCTGGACATCCCTTCAGTTGCTGCACATGGGACGCGGCCTCAGCATGGCCGGAGAAGCGGCGCGTCAGTGCACGCCCGGGATCCAAACCCAGGTCACCAGCAGTGGAGCTCGCGCACCCAACCGCCAAGCCACGGGGGCTGGCCCTAAATATACTTTTTAAAAAGAACACCTACTATTTTCTTCCTGATAACAAATGTGATAATTAGTCACTGTAAAGATTCTGGAAATTATTTTTTAAAATGTAGAAGAAATAGATATTACCTGTAATCCCACTCCCAAGAGATACTGCTAAAATTTGTTATCTATACTTATGGGTTTTTTCCCACACCTACACAATCCGTCTGTACACACACACACACACACACACTTATTTAAAGCACCTGGGATTGTATTCAACAAATTTGTAACTTGCTTTTTTATTTCATATATTGTGAGCATTTTTCGAAAGCCTTAAATGATTGCATAGTAGTCCATTCTATAAACAGCATAAGTAATCCAACCAATCTTTTCCTGTTAGACATTTAGGTGATTTCCAATTAGTCACTATTATAAAATAATGAGGGTAACAAACATCTTTAAACATAAATATTTATACACAGCTCTGATTATTTCAAAACAAATTTGTAGAAGTAGAAGTACTGGTTTATTTATTTATTTATTTATTTTTAAAGATTTTATTTATTTATTTTTTCCCCCCAAAGCCCCAGTAGATAGTTGTATGTCATAGCTGCACATCCTTCTAGTTGCTGTATGCGGGACTCGGCCTCAGGATGGACGGAGAAGCGGTGCCTCGGTGCGCGCCCGGGATCCGAACCGGGGCTGCCAGCATCGGAGCGCGCACACTTAACCACCAAGCCACGGGGCCAGCCCAGAAGTACTGGTTTAAAGTTTTTAAATACATACAACCGAACTGGTTGTATTACCTTATATACCTACCAGCTGTAGAGGAAGTGCCAACTGTTGAGAACCACATTAATAGAAATATTTGACTTGGTAAGAAAAAAGTGGCATCTCATTTAAATTGCTTATTTATAGCCTTTTCCCAATTCACTACTGTGCTCAATGGAATAGACGTAAAAGCATTCTACAGATAGGAGAAATAAATTTGTCATACATTTTGCTGTTTTCCACTAGCTTGTCATTTGCCTTTTAATATTGTTTAAGGTTTATATCACTTTTCCTTAATTTTTTTTCTTTACATCTAAGCGTAGAAAGATCTTCTCTACTTTGAGATCAGAAAAATATTTATATTTTATACATTTTAAGGTTCCTTTTTTACACAAACATTAAAGGAACTATAATTTCATGCAAGCGATTAGTATAATTTGATTATATAATTGATTATACTAATTGCTAATTCAAGTGATTAGCAACTACCCAACTTCCCAGTCGTATTTATCGAGTAATTTGCTTTTCCTCTATTATCTGAAAAACTACCTTATCATGGATTAAAATCCTAAAACTACTCAGATCAATTTCTGGGCTTACTGCTCTACGTCAATGGTATGTCCCCCTCTTCGCATTAGCACTACATTGCTATAATGCATAACTGCTATAGCTGTACAAACATGTTTTTACTGATAGAGTAAATTTTCCTTCAGTAGCCCCTTCTTCAATTTTCATTACTTTATCTCTCTAGGTGAATTTTAGGATCATTTCACCAAGTTCCACCCCTTCATCCCCCAAAAAAGTCCCTCAAGATTTTGGCTAGACCTTTATTCAATTCCTAAGCTAATTAGAAAACTGTCATTTAGTACATATTCCCATTACGTACATACTAAAATTCAATTCTGTGAAAAAGACAATATTCCATCTGAAGACATTCTTTTTCTATTAATATATATTGCTGTAACTGTGAATTCTGCTCTACAATATTTTTATTAGAACCATTACTATATCTTTCCCTCAGAAAAATACAGAGCCCTTTCTGATTAACAGAATAGTTATATAACTGTTTCAGATCCAGAAAGTTAATTTCCTTTGATTCACATGCAAATTATTAACTGCTTTCTTCTTCTTCTTCTTCTTCTTTTTTTTTTTTTGCTGAGGAAGATTTGCCCTGAGCTAACATCTGTGCCAGTCTTCTTCTGTTTCCTATGTCGGTTACCACCACAGCATGGCCACCAATGAGTGGTGTAGGTCCGCACCCAGGATCCAAACCTGGGCCGCCAAAGCAGAGTGCACCAAACTTAACCACTAGGCCACGGGGCCAGCCCCTCTTATTCTTTATAAAAATGATCACTATTTTCATCATCTAAGAACAGTATCCTCATCTCTAATCATAGATATGTCTCAATCTAAAGAGCTTTCCTAGTTAAGATTTTTTACTTTTGAGTGGACTTTGGGAAGTGATCAAAAAGTCTTACAGACTGATTCACATTTGTGGCTTCAATTCAAAAATACTCTCAGGGCCAGCCCCGTGGCGTAGTGGTTAAGTGTGCATGCTCCACTGCTGGCGGCCCAGGTTCGGATCCCGGGTGCACGCTGCCTCACTGCTTGTCAGGCCATGCCGTGGCAGCATCCCATATAAAGTTGAGGAAGATGGGCACAGATGTTAGCCCAGAGCCAGTCTTCCTCAGAAAAAAGAGGAGGATTGGCATGGATGTTAGCTCAGGGCTGATCTTTCTCACAAAAAAAAAAAAGAAAAAAATACTCTCTATCATTGTGGGTCTCAAGGGTTAACGTCCATGGCATGAGCTCTCTTAGCCAGCCCTGGTGGTCTAGTGGTTAAGATTCGGCGCTTTCACTGCTGCGGCCTGGGTTTGTTTTCTGGTCAGGGACCCACACCACTCGTCTGTCAGATGTCATACTGTGGTGGTTGCGTGTTGCTGTGATGCTGAAAGCTATGCCACTGGTACTACTAATACCAGCAGCATCACCCACGGTGGACAGGTTTCAGCAGAGCTTCCAAACTAAGACTAGGAAGAAGGACCTGGCCAACCACTTTCAAAAAAATTGGCCATGAACACCCTAGGAATAGCAGTGGAGCATCATCTGATATAGCACTGGAAGGTGAGAGGATGGTGCAAAAAGACCAGGCAGGGTACTACTCTGCTATGCACAGGCTCACCAGGAATCGGAATCGACTCCACAGCACTAACAACAAAATGAGCTCTCTTAGAAGGTTCACCAAAGAGTGCTTCAAAGATATTTCAATTGTTCAGAGAACACATTACCTTGAGGGAAAGGAAGATAAAGAACATATGAAAGGGAACATATGATAACAAGCCCAAGGCCACTTACAACTCAAAGGCAACATAGGACAAATGACAGAGCCAAGACTGTGCATAAGGTAAATCACATGCAAGTTTGCCCACACAACAAGAAAACATTATGCGATCCAAGAAAATCCAATTTTGAAAATCTAACTGTGGCCTCACATTAGTAGAGGGGAAAAAATTAAATAGAAATATATAATCTTTATAAAATGACAGATTGTTGGATTTCATTTGGTAGAATGTCTTTCCTACTGTTAGCTTTAAAATATTTTAAAATGTTCCAAGACTAAACCTTCTTTTAAAAGGGTAAAAATTCAAACAGCATTCAATATTTATCTTCTATAATCATCAGCTTAAACAAATAGGAACATTTTTCCTTCCATACCTTCAGGGGGTCTCTGCAACTGGGATTTCCGATAAAACAACATATAGGCACTCTCTTTACCCTGAAATTGCTGTTGAATATCCTTTTCCTTGATTGGTTGGACTTTGGAATCATTTATATCAAACCAGTGAGGACAGGAGCTTCTATCATTTAGTCCTGGGGATTCTGAAGTAAGGGTCTTGAAAATGTGTTGATCATTCCTTTGGAAATCAAACTCAGCCCGGAGAGAAGAGTTCTTCAATAGACTAACTGTACTTTCATCTGAACTGAGTAGAAATATCTGAGAATGAAGCTGTAAGAACTATATAGAAACAAAAAACAAATACTAGGTTAATAAAAGAAATTTTTTAACTAGACACGATAAAAAAACTTTATCTTCCTTTCTCTGATTAGATCTTTTAACTTCACCTTTATTTTTGGCCTGGCCAGCTAGGAGGAAAAAATATCCATTTGAGACATAATAAAACGTTTAATAAATATCAGAGTGCTCTCTGTTAAACAGTCTAATAGCTGTATCAAGGGACAAAGCTGCCATGCCACAATCTAAAAAATATTTTAATTATACCTTAATAATGCTGTTTAAAAACATACTTTACTGAAACAGATTAAGTAGAACAAATACTTCCGAAATGTTTAAAGCAATCTAAACAAACAAAGCACAGAACAAAGGCAATCACAGTGAGGCACTATAGAGATAATTTAAAAACTAGTGACTCAGAGAAACTCTGTTGGGATAATTAAAAGCCTAAATTATTGTTCAACATGAATTAAATTGAATGTTGTCTGTCCTAGAAGCTGAAAGGCTAGCTCAGGACATCAAAGCATAGAAAGGCTGAAGTCATAATCCCAAAGGCTATTTCTCAAGTTCTTCCAGCCAAAGACTTAGAAAGAAAAAAATATTCTCTCCCTTTTGTCTACCCCACCTCTCCACCCTCTTCTCTTCTCTCATTCCCTAATCTCTATGCAGACTTGCACCTCCTTCTTTCCTCTCAGCACAAATTTACTTCACATAGAAAAAGCACTTGGGAGGTTTATGTAACATTTGCTTAGCTCATCAATCAACACAGAATATTCTTTCTTTCTTTCTTTTTTATTTTTTGTGAGGAAGATCAGCCCTGAGCTAATGTCCAATGCCAATCCTCCTCGTTTTTGCTGAGGAAGACCGGCCCTGGGCTAACATCCATGCCCATCTTCCTCTACTTCATATGGGACGCTGGCACAGCATAGCTTGACAAGCGGTGCGACGGTGCGCACCCGGGATCCGAACCTGCGAACCCTAGGCCGCCGCAGCAGAGCACACGTACTTAACGGGCTGGCCCCGGAATATTCTTTTCTCTTGGAAAGAGGAATGCCAACTCTCTAATCAAAAGTACTATTTTATCACTAACAGAAGGGCCTAGGGCATATGACCCAAAAACAATATTAACACTGTGTATAACAGATGGTAAAACAGTTTTGTAGCTAATTTGTTTTAGGTACAATAAAACATCAACAATTTGAAAGCTTCGAGTAATGAACTTTCTGAATAGCCGATTTTTTCTTTGTTGCATAGTTGAGGATTAACTCTTTTAAATCTCAAGCTTCAGTACAGTCTTGTACTAGCAATGACAGAGAACTTTTACTGGATCAAGCCTCCTGACAAAAATGTTAAACTCTAGACAAAATAATGAAAACAACTGTTTGGAGAGTAACCAAAAGCAGGCAGAAAGTGGAGGGGACATAATCCTCCAAAAAAGGGAAGCACATGAGGTGAGTTCTACACTAACCCCCCTCTTCCCAGTTGGTAGCAGTGCATGTAAGACAGTTCAAGCGAAGGGCAGGAGTCTTACTTGGCTGAGGAAACAGAATCTGAGAATGCAAGAGAGGCTAGAAAGTGAAAGGGAAAATCCTATAAGGGAGCCCCGAATCTAGATCAAACTGCCCTCAAATCCTTGGCTGACTCCTGAATGGTACACAGACAGTCTGAGACCCTAGGAACCCAGCATAAAGTAACAGCTGGGAGGTTCAAGACCTGAGCAGAGATTTTAGCACCCTGCTGCTGGGTAGAAAGAGCATGGAGCTGAAGTCCTGCCAAATTAGAGGCATATGACAAACACCGCAGGCTTTCCACCGAAATCCTAGAAGGGCCATGCCTTAGGTCAGGGGTTGGCAAACTTTTTCATAAAGGGCCGGAGAGTAAATATTTTAGGCTTTGTGGGCTAAGAGGTAAACTTAAGGACATTATGTAGTACTACATAACTTTTAAAAAATAACCATTTAAAAATGTAAAGACAGTTCTTAGCTCAGGGTTGTACTAAAACAGGCAGCAGGCCATTTTTTGCCCACAGGCCATAGTTTGCTAACCCCTTCCTTAAGAGGACGGACCATGCATGCCCTAGGACTAAGAGCTACTCGCTAGGACTAACCAGCAAAACTGCAACAGACCCTACCAAAGCCCCAAAGGAAGCTTCCACAGGATCAAGGTGATTCAGAGGTAATTCAATGGCCTGTTAGAACATAATGCAAAACTCTGTAGAGAACAATAACACAATCCACAGTCTCCACAACACACCATGCACAATGTCCAGGAGGCAAGATAAGATTATACGATATGCAAAGAAACAGGACAACGTGATTTGCAATCAAGAGATGATACAGTCAATTCACAAGAGAAAATAAAATTAATAGAAATAGACTCAGAAATAATCCAGATGTTATAACAACAAAGTTACTAAAAATATGTTAATTTATAGGAAAGGATGGATGAAGGGGTTCAGATGGGGAATTTCACCAGAGAAATGGACACTCTAAATAAGAACTAAACAGAAATTCTACAGCTGAAAATACAATATCCGAAGCAAAAAGTTCATTGGCTGGGCTTAACAGAAGTCTGGTTACAGCAGAAGAAAGAACCAGTGAACTTTAAAACAGATCAATGGAGGGCCGGCCCCGTGGCTTAGTGGTTAAGTGCGCACGCTCCGCTACTGGCGGCCCGGGTTCGGCTCCCGGGCGTGCACCAACGCACCGCTTCTCCGGCCATGCTGAGGCTGCGTGCCACATACTGCAACTAGAAGGATGTGCAACTCCGACATACAACTATCTACTGGGGCTTTGGGGAAAAAAAAAAAAGGAGGATTGGCAATAGATGTTAGCTCAGAGCCGGTCTTTCTCAGCAAAAAGAGGAGGATTAGCACGGATGTTAGCTCAGGGCTGATCTTCCTCACAAAAAAAATAAAAATAAAAATAAAAAATAAAACAAATGGACTAAACATTCTAATTAAAAAAAAGAGATTGTCCCAAAGAGGCTTATGCACCCCTATGTTCATTGCAGCATTATTCACTATAGCCAAGAACTGGAAGCAACCCAAGTGTCCCTCGACTGATGAATGGATCAAGAAGATGTGGTATATATACACAATGGAATACTACTCAGCCATAAAAAAAAGACAAAATCGTCCCATTTGCAACACCATGGATGGACCTGGAGGGTATTATGTTAAGTGAAATAAGCCAGAAAGAGAAAGACAAACACCGTATGATCTCATATGTGGAATATAAACCAACACATGGACAGAGAAAACTGTATTGTGGTTACCAGGGGCAATGGGGGTAGGGGGTGGGCACAAGGGGTGAAGCGAGACATGTATATGGTGATGGACAAACAAAAATGTACAACCAAAAATTTCACAATGTTATAAACTATTAAAACATCAATAACAAAAACGATCTGATAAAAAAAAAAAAGAGATTGTCAAACTCTAACATCTGATAGAAAACACATGAACAGTAGAGAAAATCAACAAAAGTAAAGCTTTTTTTTAAAGTTTAATAAACTTGATAAACCCCCAGCAAGACTGAGAAAAAAGAAAGCTAAAAAGCACAAATTATCAGTATCAGAAATGAAACAGGGAACATAACTTCAGGTCTTATAGACATTAAAAGGATAACATGGTGATATTTCAAACAACTTTATGCTAACAAATTCACCACTTTAGATAAAAGAACAAATTCCTTAAAAATCACAGTTTTCCAAAATAAATAAGAACCAATGTCATACTGTTTGCAAAAGACATACTTGCATAAAAAAGCTTGTATGGTTACATCAGTACCAGCCAAGGTAGATTTCAAGGCAAGGAATATTAGCAGAGATAAAAGAAGGGCATTTCACGTCAGGAGGCCATAACAGTCCAAAATGTGTATGCGCCTAATAATACAGCTTGAAAATACACGAAGCAAAATTGTCAAAAGTAAAAGGAGGAAGAGACAAATCCACAATGATAACTGGAGATTTAAAAACTCCTCTCAGTAACTGATACAACAAGAAGACAGAAAAATTAGTAAGAATAGAGAAGAAAGAAAGACTATTAACCAATTTGACCTAGTTGACCTATATTAACACCATACCCAACAACTGCAGAAAATAACTTTTCCAGTGAATAACAGAACATTCAGCAAGATAGACCATATTGTGAGGCATGAAACAAGTCTCAATAATTTCAAAAGAACTCAAATCATAAAGAGCATGTTCTCAAAGTATAATGGAATTAATTAGAGATCAATTTATAGATGTAACAAAAAGATAACTAGAAATCTCCCCAACTATTTGGAAAGTAAGCAACACACTTCCAAAAAACTCATGGGTAAAAGAAAGAATCACAAGGAAAATTACAAAATATTTTGAACTGAATGATAATGAAAACATGTCAAATTTAGCTGTAGCTAAATTAGTGCTCTGAAGGAAATTTAAAGCTTTAAAAGCATGTATTAAAAGGAAGGTTTAAAAAAAACTGAGATACTAACCCAAGAAGCTAGAAAAAGATGATCAAATTAAACACTAGAGGTAAAAGGAAGGAAATAATTAAAAACAAGAGCAGAATTCAACGAAATAGAAAACAGATGAGCAGTAGAGAAAATGGGCAAAGGCAAAAGCTTGTTTTTTGAAAAGTTTAATAAACTTGATGACCTCCAAACAAGACTGATGAAAAAAAATGAGAAAACACATATTTTTACGTGAAAAAATTTAACACCATAGATAAAAGAACAAATTCCTTAAAAAAATACCATTTTCCAAAATAATGCAAGAAGTAATAGAAACATAAATAACTCTATAATCAAAGAGATTAAAACTATAATTTAAAAACCTTACTACAAAAAAGTTCCAGGTCTAAATGGCTTCACCAAACATTTAAGAAATAATAATCGATCTTAGAGAAATTCTTTCCAAAAACATAAAAAAGAGACTATTTCCCAACTCTGATACTAAAATCTGACAGACATTACAAAAAAAGAAAAGATTGATATCTCTCATAAACACAGACACAAATTCCTTAATAAAATATGAGCCAAATGAATACAGCAATACATAAAAATATATCATGATCAAGTGTGATTTATCCCAGAAATGTAAGATTTACTTAACATTAAAAATATCAACCAACAGAATTCACATTAACATAATAAAAGAGAACAGCCATGTGATCATATCAATAGATGTAAAAAACCAAACAGCATTTGATAAAATCCAAACTGTATTCAAAATGAATCTATCAGTCAACTATGAATAAAAGCTAACTTCCTCAAACTTATAAAAGGTGCATTTAAAAAACACCTGCACAGCTAATATCATACTTAGAAGTAAAATATTGAAACACTGATCCAATCCTTTAAACAAAAATCTTCAAACCTTATATGAACTCAGGGTCACTAGGCTAACATTCATTTATGAACCGTGGTCTAATTAAAAGATGCACTGAAGCACTGTTTGAAGTGTGCAAGCTCTTTGGTCCTATAAGAAACAGTCTAAAATATTTACTAAGTGTTCTGTTGCTCTGCTTGTTTTCAGTCAAGTTGTTTTGTCTTATTTCTGGAAGCACCAGTTTTTGCATCTAATCTTACAGCCTAGGAAACCAGATCACCAAATTTACTACAATTGTGCATAAAAGAAAGATCAAGTGAAATCTGGCTGAATACCTGAAGACATTTCTATAAGTAAAATGATAAACTTTAGGGTATGCACTTCCTGAGATTCTTTTGCTGTTATGATCTTTTTTGGCTTACTTCTTGATCCTATGATAAAAATTACTTTACTTAATAACTTAATACTTAATAAGTACTTAACTGAATTCTAACCATTAAACAAAAATAGTGATTTTATTTTCACCTAATTTAAATTTCTTTCTGCAAAGGAATTCACGTTGTTGGGATCATAATAAAACTTCCTGTAAATAGGACTTCCTACAAGGATGCCATGTGTTACCTTTCGCAATGGTCCATACTGTTTTCTGTACTTCTTGTTCCAAGATATTCCTATCTTTTTCAACAGTTTCTGGCCCAGCTGATCTATAGGAATTAGATTACTCTCCTCCTTATGAAAGAAACACAAAGTCATTTAAGAAAATCGGATGAAATATAACTGCAACACTTATGAGTTCAAAGGGGCTAAAAGGATCATATCTAATGACATGTGCCTAAAACAGCAAACATGCAAGTGGATTAACCATAATTATCTCAAAATAAAAAGTTAAGCCTCAGTTTAGAAAACTTGAATTTTGCCACTTTCCACGTGCCAAAATTTAAACACTTAAAGAGCAATATCCAAAGAGTATTCTGAGCTTTGGTAAATTCCTGACATTATGTGGGATTTTCAGAAGAAAAATTTAAGTGCAAAAAAGGATTATTATGTCTTTTCTGAATGTTTCAAAGTATAAACAAGTTCTAAAAGGGGGCAAGAAGTGACTATTAAGGGCTGAAATGTGTCCCCTGACCAAAATTCATACGTTGAATCTCTAACCCTCAAAATTGTGACTGTGACTATATCGGGATAGGGCCTTTAAAGAAGTGATTAAATTAAAATGAAACCATTAGGGTGGGCCCTAATCCTGAATGGTGTCCTTGTAAGAAGAGGCAATGTGGACACACACAGAGACATCAGGGATGCACAGACACATAGGAAAGGCAGGTGAGGACACAATGAGAAGGCAGCCATCTGCAAGCCAAGGAGAGAGGCCTCAGAGGAAACCAAACCTGCTGACATCTTGGACTTCAGCCTCCAGAACTGTGAAAAAATAAATTTCTTTTGTTTAAGCCACTCAGTCTGTGGTATTTTGTTATGGCAGCCCTGGCAGACTAATATAGTAGCCACAGACCAATATAGTTAAAGGATTCAGCCTAGGACCCTAGTAAGAATTATGAAAAATTATTTATTAAGAATGAATGAATAAATGAAAGAAGACCTACCATCTGTATAACAGGGTACTAAGCAAACACTAAAAGTCACATACTGGAGGTATTATCAATATCAGGAATGAAAAACGGGACATAACTTCAGGTCCTACAGACATTAAAAGGATAATATGGGAAAACAGTAATTCCAAAACAGTATGTAAAGTAAATCCCAATTCTATTTAAAATGATAATAATAATACCAAAAAAACCAATTACCCAATCCCAATATATATATAAATACAAAGAAAACAGAACGCAAAGAATATACATCAAAGTGTTAATGTCTGGGCATTTGGTTTATTTACTTTTTATTTTCTTTATATATTTTTTAGTTTTTTGCTCTCAAATTTTCTACCATGACTATGTATTTCTTTTATAACCAGAAAGGATCCAATAAAAAATTTTTTAAATAGATGTAGAGAAGTCCCATAGAAGAAAGACTATGAATAGTAACAATATCAGTTCTACCAACTAAATCACATATATATATATGATGTACATACACAGAAACAAATACCAACACACTCTCTCTCTCTCTACCTGTAATAAGATTGCTTTCAGAATTATCAATGGATCCTCAATCTCTTCTTCATTCTGAAGATCTTTCAAATTCACATCTGGTTTACCTTTTTCCTCCTAGAAGGAAAATAATAAAAAAGTTTCCATCACTAATCCCATAAAAGGTAATTAACAAAATAGGAATGTTTGTGCCACAGAGGTTTCAAGATGGAGAAATGATGATAAAAGCATCATAATAATCTGTATGCTTTGGAATCAGCAGACCTGGCTTTGAATTCCAGCTTTGGTTGAATAGTCCTAGAGAAGCCACTTAATTTCTCTGGCATTATCTATAAATTGGGACTGTGAGGTAAGTAAAGCTTCCAGCACAACACAGAGTGGGTTCCACATTTTCCCACTAAGCACTACTTGAGATGCATCCTACAAACGTTGATATGTTGTATCTTCATATCATTCAGTTCAAAACATTTTCTGGTCTTGATCCAATTTATCCTCACTCGTGTTGGCCTAATAAAATCCGACCCATCTTTGTGGGCTCAGCTCAAACACTCCCTTCTATTTCCTGATCACCCACGTTTTCACGCCATTCTGTGAACTTCTTTGGGAACATGTCAAAATTCCCCTGATAAGGTATTTTTATTGATTTTTTTCATACATGCCATCTTGCAAAAGTATTTAAATTGGCTTAAAACCATAAATACAGATACACCTAAATAATTAACACAAGACAAAAATAATAAAGAAACAGTAGAAGAATATAGCAGATTAAACACAATCATTCTGCTGTAAAATTAGTAAAAATGCTGGATAAAGTAAAACACAACACAACAAAACAAACCAAACAAAAACATCTTAAACGCACGCTAAACTAGCAAGAGAACATCAGGAAAGTCCTCAAGAAAGAAGTGAAATGGGAATCCAGGGAGGAAATCCAGAGCTGAGGCGTTCAGTTACCCAACCTTGCTGACACAGAGCTTCCACTTCAATGTTCACATAGGACAGGGTTTGGGAGACACAGCCTATGGACCTACCCAAAGTAGGGAGTTGAATGACTGGTTTTCCAAACCACCAATTCTCTGATACCACCTGCGTGTCCTACATATCAATCCAATTCTGACACTAACTTTGCTAAGTCCCACAAAACTGCCCCGACTTCAGACACCAGCTGCAAATGGGGTCCTCAGGCTACTTGCACTTCTACCTGGCTAATTACAAATTCCAGGGATCCTACAACCCCCATTTCAGGTGTGATAATTTCCTCGAACAGCTCACAGAACTCAGGAACTTATACTCAGGACTACAGTTTATTATAAAAGATACAAATGAAGAGCCAGAGGAAGAGGTACATAGGGCAAGGTGGGGAAGGATCCTGAGTGCAGGAGCCTCTGTCCCCATGGAAACCGGGGTGGCCACCTTCCCTGCACTTGGATGTGTTCACCAACCCAGAAGTTTCCTTAGTCTCCCTGTTTCAGAGCTTTTATTGAAGTTTCATTAGAGGCATGATTGATTAAATCTTTGGCCCCTGGTGACCCAAATCAATCTCTAGTCCCTCTCCCATCCTCCGGTCAGGGGGTGGGGCTGAAAGTTCCAACCCTCTAATCACATGATTGGTTCCTCTGGTGACCAGCCCTCACCCTGAAGGTATCTAGGCCCCCAAGAGAGTCACCTCATTAGCATAAGCACAGGTATGGTTGGAAGAGATTCATTATCAACAAGAAAAGACATGCCCATCACAGGAAATTTCAAGGAGCTCTATGCCAGGAACCTGGGACAGAGACCAAATATATATTTTTTATTACACAAAGATAGACTCCAGCAAAAAGCTAGAAACTTGAAAGGGCTACACTCTCAATATAAGCATGCCCTAGAAAAAAATCCACCCCACGATAAAGGATAACAAGGAACTGGCTCACTTTGACCTTGACACTAGAATGAAGGTGGAAAAACATTTCCTCTAATAAGTTGTAATCACAAGTAGGTCCTCATGTGGGTTTGCGGCCCAAATTCACACTAGCTGTATGGCTCTAAAACCACGAAGTCAAGATGTTATTTTAAAGCCATTAAGGGTTGGAAGTGACCCCCAGGCATGCGGTAGAGACAAACACATATCTTTCTTGGAGGAAGGCATTACAACTCAGGCCTCAAATTATTCTTGTAAATCATATTCTTAAAAAACCAACCAACCAACCAAGCCTACAGTCTAAAATAACAAAATCACAAGGAAATAGAATCAGCAGATACCCAAATAAGACCCACAAAGTCTTCAGATACTGCAATTTTCAGACAGAATAATAAAATAGTATGTTTAATATGTTTAAAGACATTTATGACTAAGGACTAAGATTTAAAAATGATAGCAGGGGAGAGGCAGGCTGGCATTGGTCAGTATTTGACACACTGCTGCAGGTGATATACGGGCTGGGCCCAGTCATCCTCCACCCCGCCAGTGTACACCATGGCCTTTGGAGTCAGGCTGGTCTAGTAGGTACCAGTCCCAAAGCTGCCTACTGGGAGGTCTTGTGAAGCCTTCTTTGTCCCACTTCCTCAAATGTGCAAGATGATGTTCAAAGTGACGTCAACCATCAGTGAAGCAAAAAGCCCCCCAGGAAGTGGAAGGCATAGATCAGGCTCCTCTTTACGGCCAGATCTAGAGTCATATTTTGAATAATTTATGGCTTTCATGCTAGAAGAAAGGGATCATCTTCTAGACAGACTAAGAGAGAATGAAATGTTGGCTTTACCCCAGGGAAAATTATGTGAGTTTGGTCATGGAAGTTATTCCCTGCAGACAGCACCTACAAAACAAATCCATGAATGCAGGGAACAGCTCCTTGAAAGGGAAGAAGAAATTACTCAACTATAAGCAGAAAGAATACTACCTGGCTATGATTAGAATATTTGGAACCCGTTGTCTCTAGGCACAAGAGATCTCTCAGGCTAATAGCAGTAAACAGACAAGCAGTATCCAGCAGGTGTACCTACTAAAGTTGAAATTCTTAATGTACTAATCATTATCCTGATTATATTATGACAAAGCTCCGGATGAAAAGCTAGTGATTCTTAAAGAATAGAATAAGAAAAAAATTAACAAATGGATGCTTCATAGAAGCCATGAATAAGGAAATAAGCACAAATGGAAAGCAATCTTGTGACTGTTCTTTAAGCTCTGAGGAACACCTTGCTAAAAAGTAAGAGCTTCAAGAACAGAGAAGCAGGGCAGAGAGCAAAACCAAATAAAAGAATGTCTGCCCTCTTGAACATATGCCCAAGTAACAGAACCGGGAGAAGAGCCTAACACTGCTAGTAAAGAGCTAATCAATTCTGAAGAAATGAACATAACATTGCAGCGTTGTCCAAGAAGCACAACCCAAAAGCAAGACATGCAAGAGAGAATCATTACTCTTGAGACAAGCTACCTCACCCCGCAGTGTGAAGCCACCTCTGTGCATGACCTCAACGATAAACTTGAAAATGCAAATACAAATAAATATTTTATGCATCAAAAGCCTGAGGATACATCCCACCAGCTAGAAAAGTGCCTGACATCTGACAGTGGCTGAGCAGAAGCCGCAGCAGGCACTGAGGAGAGCAGACATGCTCCCGGAGGTGGAAGCTGCACCAGCACAGAGGGTGGAGCTCTTTCTGAGACTGAAGAGAGACTCGGCAGTATCGGAAAAAGGTTACAACAGATGCAGGCATAACTGAAGGAAAAAATCAAGAACTACAGTGGGCAGGGCAAAGAGGAAAAAAATAAACAAACAACATAATATTTATTAGACCTGTTCACAAGCTTCTATCAGAATCTAATAAAAGTTTTCAACCTCATCTTTTAGAGAGAATAAAATAAAGCTAATATAATCATTTGAAAGGGGTGGGGGAGAATGGCTGCTCTAGAGAATAAGAACTCTCTACTACGAGATCCTGGAAACATCAAGTGTGTGAAGGAAGGTAACACGACAAGAATCAGCTCAAACTAAGCACAGAAACACTGAGGGCTGACTCAGGCCAGAGGAAGTAAGCAGCGCGTCACTTCCTCTGACTGGGAATGTGCCCAATGAGCTAGTGTCTTGGCATATGTGGCACAAGCATTTGAGAGCGATGTTTGCATGGCTTTCTCAACCCAGAACTCGAGTTCTAGCAATAAAAAAAAATGGACAGTAAAGGATTGGAAAGGGTGAAACAAAACTGTCTTTTCCCAAGGATGTCTACAATATAGAGGGTTTAGCAAGATGGTTGGTTATAAAATCAATATACTCAAGATAACTGAATTTCAACACACTAGCTGCAAATAGTCCAAACAATACAAAGTACAGACATAGCCCCACAGAATATCTCCCTGGCAAACATTTTCCTGGTAGAACAGTTTGACTTCTTTAATATCCAAACTTTACGAAACATATATATCTTGCAATACATTCCAAGTGCAACTGATAGAGCATCAGAAATACAGACAGATGCTCTGAAAAGCACACTGAATGTCAACAAAGAGAATATGCTTCCTGAATACTGCTGGCACCAAGAGAAGCCATATTACTACACGTGGAGCAACTATTCATTAACAATATTAACTGTTTGATAATCAGAAAGATGTGTTTTAAGCATTCTACATCCTAACGATGTAACTTACATATTGAGGTTTTACTATGTTTTAGTTACATTTTAGAAAACTGGTTGAGAGTTTGGGGTTGGTGTGTAATACACTATAACTTTTCCCATTGCAAATAACTGGAACTAGACTCCCAGTTAGTGCTTCCCCTCAGAACATCTGCAAGTTCTTTTCTTGAGAAAATTATAAGACTTTTTTTGTGTGTGTGAGGAAGACTGGCTCTGAGCTCACATCCATTGCCAATCCTCCTCTTTTTGCTGAGGAAGATTAGCTCTGAGCTAACATCTGTGCCTATCTTCCTCTATTTTGTATATGGGATGCTGCCACAGCATGGCTTGATGAGCGGTGAGTAGGTCCACGCCCGGGATCTGAACCTGTGAACCCTGGGCCACCGAAGCAGAGTACGTGAACTTAACCACTATGCCACTGGGCCAGCCCCTATAAAACTTTTTTATAAGACATTAAAGAACTTCTAGAAAATGAAAAGATATGTCTTGTTTACATATGTAGATTCGAAATCCCACTATTTTTTGTGTGTGTGTGTATGTGAATACCGACAAGCTGATTCTAGAAATGTTCACAGAAGCATAAAAAGCCAAGAAATGCACAACATTCCTGAAGAATAACAACACGCAGGGAGACTTGCCCTATCAGATATCATGACTTACAATAAAGCTAAAGAAATTAACAATGTGGCATTTGCCTAGGAATAGGAAAAAAAAGAAGAATGGAACAGAATAAAGAGCCCAAAAATATACTTACACATAAACAAACAAGTGACATAACAGACCTGGCATTGTAGATTGGTGGGGAAAGAATGGATTATTCAATAAACGGTAATGGGCAATTGAGTACTCAAATGGAAAAAAAAAAAATCTCACACCATTCAGAGGAAACCATTCCAGGAAGACTAAAGTTTTAAATGTAAAAGGCAAAACTATAAAACTTTTACAAGACAATATAGGAGGAAAATCTATCATCTTTGGTTGGTGCCATGAAAGACGAAGAAAAGCTGAGGAACGGTTATTGACTAAAGGAGACTTAAGAGATATGCTAAGTAAATATAATGCATGATCCTGGACTTGATACTAGAGTGGGGAAGAAAATGCTATAAAGGGTTTGGATAAGACAACTGGTGAAATCTGAATATAAACTATATAACAGATAATAGTATTATACCACCATTAAAGTTCCTGATTTTGATCTGTCCTATGTAAGAGAAAGTCCCTGTTCTCAGGAGATAAATACTTAAGTATTTAGGGGTCAAGGGGCCCAATGTCTTCAAATTAATTTCAAATGGCTCAACACTAATAATGATAACGTTAACTCTGTGTCTGTGTGTGTATGTGTATACATAGAGTGTGTGCCTGCATAAAGGTGGCAAAATGTTCACCACTGGAGAATCTAGGTGAAGAGTATACAGGAGTATTTGTACTATGCTGGTTATTTTTCTCTAAGTGTGAAATTATTTAGAAATAAAAATTTAAAACTTCTATCAGTATTAACTTTCAGTGCCTATAAAAGTTTTCTACAGAGTAAATATATAATAAACGGCAAAATGTTATCCTCACCAAAGTAATAGGACTAGAAAAAGAAAAAAATTGCAAAGATACTTCTAAATTAATTTCTTTACTTACTTGAAATTGCCAGTTCCCCAAATGATCAACATCTTTAATATACACATGATAATGTCCTCCATAGCAACCACCTTTGTGTATAATGACCGAGAAGAGGTCATATATATATTCCAAATCATCTAATTCACTCTACAAGAAAAAAGAACATAAACACTGATATAGTTTACACAAAATGGGAAGGTACATAATCAAAGGGAAAAAAGAATTTCAACTGCTGAAATTAATAAGAAACTTCACTGTTTATTATTATTTAATGATAAGATAAATTTCAATAACTGGCTTTAAATTTTAAAATTCTTAATTCTTAGACTGAAAATTATCTATCATTGATCTAATACCAATCACACTACACCAATCAAATTCTGCCTCTTAGTTAAACACGAAAACATTTATCCAAACAAGAGGTTATTTTTATGTACTTTAGCTAAGATCATACAAGCCAATGTGATAAAATATACTACCCTATCAGTGAGTCTGATAGTTTCAGCAAGAGAAAGCCTTCTTTGTATTGTTTTATATGCTCTTTAGCTGTTGAATTTGTCCTATATTCCAACTAGACTGTCATAAGCCTCAACGTCAGTATCATATCTACCATCTACCATCCCTCTCGACACTTTAGTCCTCTACATTTAACAGGAATTTACCAATTATGCATATTAGCTGGTTTTGTTTAGAGGCAGTTTAGTGAAAAGAAAAGGTTCTTTCTTGATTTATTAATTCTGTGAGCAATCTCTTCTATAATTAACGTGCTCTATAATTATGATTGACCCAACAGATGAACACCTACACTGCCATTGAAAAAAAAAAATCTACTTTAGGTTAACAGATACTTTGCATACGGATGTTACTTGAGGGTGCCAATTACTGGAGGAACTATTTGCTTAAAAAAATCTAACTTTTTAAGTAAGCACCATTTTTTAAACGTCTGGTTCAGGTAAAAGACAAGACAGACAGACGTAAACAAAGATGTAAAGTGACAATTTTTTTCATTAATACAGAAATCAAAAAGTAAAACTATTGTGGGCTAAACAAGTGCTCAATGTTTTACTTAATTCAGTTTTTGTTATTTCAAAGTATGTTAAAATCATGTGACAAACTACTTTTATAAAAGGACAAAAATTTTTCTATATGAGATGATGGATGTTAACTAAACCTATTGTGGTGACCATTTCACATTATGTAAATCAAGCCATCATGCTGTACACTTTAATCTTATACAGTGATGTACGGCAATTATTTCTCAATAAAACTGAGAAAAAAAGAATTAATTCATCCTGAAAAAAAAATATTTTTCAGGCAGTAAATAGGGGGAGGGGCAAGCATATTAATTTACTCTAGAAAAACTTTACTCTGTATGCCAATAACAGGCTCAGGGCCAACACAACATCATAACCTTTGAATGGCAATTAATATAATAAAACAAAAACCAAAAGGCTCAGCAATTAAGCTTGAAGTAGAGGAAGGCCCATCTGAATTTATGAACATTTAAAAAGAGATACCTTTGATAGCTAGCTCATAAATGTTCTGGTCTTAATAAATATATAAAGAATGATTTGTAATAAGAAATATATCAGTCTCATCACTCTGATCTTGGCATTACACCAATTATACAGAAAATATTTTTGAATGGCTTACAAAGTGGGTTGATTATGTAATTAATTTGTTTTCAAAACTTTCTCTCTCCCATGTCTTAAGGACTATAAATTCTAGACTACAGAAGTTCCAATCACCTGTTCCCTTTGCAGACGTGTAGTTCACTACTGCATCTAAAGTAAACATCTAAAAATGATAATTTTCCTAATGCAGGGTCATTTCTAATTTTGTTCTTCAATTTTCACTTCAAAGATTGTTCAAGGAGAGTTTAATAAAAAGAACTGAGAACAATTCCCTACTTTGGAAATTCATGAGGACTGTAATAAACCATTGGTTCTCAGCCAGGAGTGAGCTTCCCTCCCCAGGAGACATGGACATTTGGCAAGGTCTACAGACATTTTTGTCACTACGGGGGCTGGGGAGGAGGGAAAGTGACTGTAACCTAGTAGGCAGATGCCTGGGATGCCGCGTAACATCCTACAAAGAATGGGACAGCCCACCACGACAATCATCCAACTCAAAATGTTAACAGTGCCAAGGCTGAGAGATTCTGCAAGTAGTCAGCTGAAAATCAGGTCAATAAAACATTCGATCTTGAGAGGGGAAAAGAAAGAATTTCAAAATAAAATAGTTCAAACCTGTTCACAAAAAGGCTTGAGATTGATCCGGAGAGGGAACGTGTAACAGCTAGTTTCCTTGTATCGTTCACACTTCACAAAATCAAAATTAAATCTTAATAATGAAACAGTAAGAAAGGGAGGCAGCTTACGTAATTTGGCCGACTGTTAAAAGAAAAAATGTGAAAGTTTTTTAAAAGCAGAGTTATATAAAAGAATACATAATATTTCTTAAGATATAAGAAACCTATGACATAGTTTTAAGAGAAATATGTCCTTAAATCACATAAACTCATCACCATGGATTCAATATAGCTCTTGATATAAACACATCTATTTTATGGGATTAAAGGTGACACCATTCATTTATGCTTACAATGAAAAATTTACAATTTATGTTTTTTTGGGTTTTTTTTGTGAAGAAGATCAGCCCTGAGCTAACATCCATGCCAATCCTCCTCTTTTTGCTGAGGAAGACCGGCCCTGAGCTAACATCTGTGCCCATCTTCCTCTACTTTTTATGTGGGACGCCGCCACAGCATGGCCTGACAAGCAGTACGTCGGTGCGCGCCCGGGATCTGAACTTGGGCCACCAGCAATGGAGCGTGCGCACATACGCCATGGGGCCAGCCCCTTATTTTATGTTTTCAGTGCTGATATCCTAAAATCAAAGCTCTCTGATGAGCATGTTGTAACTGGGTGCTCTCCTCTCCAAGTGCTCTTTTCCTGCTTCCACCTTCCTCCTCGGAGTCTCCACTTTACTTGGCAGATACACAGTTCCTTTTATTTCCTGAAGACCTGGAGCTCTTAAGTTGGGACCTAGGGCCCTGTTTCAATGGATCCACACCCTTGAAATTACAGGAAAATTGTATGTGTTTATGTATTTTTCTGGAGAGAAGATCCATAGCTTTCATTAGACTTCCCAGAGGGCTCTAACTCCCCAAATGTTAAGATCCATTGATTGGGGATTTAGTTACTGTTCTTAAAAGCAGATAAGATTTTTTTTTTTTTTTGCTTTAATTCCTTGCTTTAAAACAAAGCACAAAATTAAACTGCTTTTTATTTAAAAGTCATCAGCTTTTCCCAACTCCCTTGCCCTAATGGCATGTTAGGGGGCCAAAAAATCCTTCCCCGTATATAAAATTATCCATAATCATAAATATCTAACATTCCTAAAAATATATTTAAAACAATTCCACAAATTTAGTGGGTAAATAAAAGTTAAATGAAAAAACAGCAATGTAACAACATGGCAGATTTTCAAAGTAGCTCAAAAAATACATCTAAAAAAACTGAGTAACTTCAACTATAATGTGGTTCAGAAAAGAAAGACTGTACAGAACAAAAAAATCTGCATTGATTTAGGTAGCACAACCAAACCTAAACTTAGAATAAATCTAAGGCAAAAAATCTAATGGAACTAGAAAAGAATGCAATTCTAGAAGTATCAAGATCAAAAAATTTTCATTAAAAAAGAATTAAACCAATGATATAAAAGGTGCATAACAGAACTGCTTTTGTTTAGCAAAAGGTTTTTGTTTTACTTATGTGCAAATTAAGTTCAACCAAAACTAAGAATGTGTTTAAGTATCTTTCCAAGATTTTTCATCCTCTGAACTTTATTCTATTAGATTGTAGTTGTAACATTAAAGGTGAAATACAAAATAAATAGGCAAAAAATAAACCTCTTTCTTTGGGTTTTAGAAAGGGGCAAAGGCTGGATAGAATTATATATTAAACAATATAAAATTCACCCTGGTTTCAAATCCTATTGTGAAAGCTACAAGCATGGGGTTTACTGTTTTTATTACATTTTCACCTACAATCTCCAGGATCCAAATTCGTGTTATCTACATCAATCCTCATTTTCTTTGTTGGAAAAATTTAATAACTGTCAGCTCTAGGAATAGTGCTCTCTCTTTAACATAACAGAGTAACCACAAAGATGTCTCTCTCTTTTGTGGTAGTTCTTTAAGTCAGTGCTCAATAACCACTACTGAATTGAGCTCAAGTTTATCACACTATGAATAGCCTATCGTATCATCCACCAGCAGTGGAACAGTTACTGCTGTGGATAATGACAGCAGCAAAGTTGATGCCATACTGCAGAAGAACTCAGTTGCTTAAATCTTGTCCTCCTTTCATCCCATATTTGCTTTGCTATATAAAAAGAAACCCTGTCAAGCCCTTTAGTTAGCAAGTTAAGTATTTCCAACTGGGGGAGGAGGAAAAGGCATATTAGATTTGCTAAAGTCAGAAAGGGTAGATACATCAATATTGTAAAATAACTGCATATGCAGAAAATGAAGACAGCCATCTATTTTCATAGTAGTAGACAAAGAAAGGAAAGCTTCTTGGTTGGCAGAAATAAAAACATATTGCCTTCTTCAAATGGTAATTTGCAAAAAGCAGGGATGTGGGGAGTTTATCAAAAAAAGGTATATTTAACGGGCCAGCCCCGTGGCTTAGCGGTTAAGTGCGCATGCTCCGCTGCTCGGGGCCCGGGTTTGGATCCCGGGCGCGCACTGACACACTGCTTCTCCGGCCATGCTGAGGCCGTGTCCCACATACAGCAACTAGAAGGATGTGCAGCTATGACATACAACTATCTACTGGGGCTTTGAGGGAGAAAAATAAAAAAAATAAATAATGAATAAAAAAAATAAAACACACCTTTAAAAAAAAAAAAAGGTATATTTAAGAAACAATGAGGTACAAATAAATTTTTCCTGGGAGACAAAGAAGTTGAGAGGACTGATGGGTTGAAAGCTTAAAAAAAATTCTTTATTGTAAAAAATTAAAATACAGGTATGTACAGTCATGTGTCGCTTAACGATGGGGATATGTCCTGAGAAATTTGTTAGGCAATTTCGTTGCTGTGCAAACATCATCGAGTGCACTTACAAAAACCTAGATGGTATAGCCTACTACACACCAGGCTGTATGGTACTAATCTTATGGGGCCACGGTTGGGCATGCAGTCCGTCATTGACCGAAACATCGTTATACGGCCCATGACTGTAAAACGAAAATGTGTTTTCAATCCTTAGTATTTTTTTTTTTTTTTTAAAGATTTTATTTATTTATTTTTCCCCCAAAGCCCCAGTAGATAGTTGTATGTCGTAGTTGCACATCCATTCTAGTTGCTGTATGTGGGACGCGGCCTCAGCATGGCCAGAGAGGCGGTGCGTCGGTGCTCGCCCGGGATCCGAACCCGGGCCGCCAGCAGCGGAGCGCGAGCACTTAACCGCTAAGCCACGGGGCCGGCCCACAATCCTTAGTATTAATTAAGAGCTTCATGTATATCTTCCAGACCTTTTCATACAAACTCACTTCACTTGACAGACCTTCTGCTACTGAGTACTAAGTGGGCACCCTACAAAAAGGCAGAGTATCTATGGTTACCTTTACTGCTTTAACCAGCTTGTCACAAGTTCCACAGTGGTATAAGTTGTCATAGTCAAAAACTTCCTCTTCTACATACATGTTCCAGAGAGCATCTTCCAAACCGGATACATTTTTGACTGCTACGGTTAGATCTAAGAAGTCTTCCTGAAATACACATGAAGATTCAAAAAGCAATTTCACAGAGGTTCACAAACACATAACCAACTCATACATATATTGGGAATAATCAGATCTATTTTTCCTAAAACACTGTGCATATGCAGGTACAGATCTCCTGATCAGATACTGGGAAATTCAAGGTTTATGAGTGCTGTCTCAGTCTCTAGACTAGCAGGGGCAGGGCTGGATTCTCTAATGTAAACTCTACTTCCTCCTCTTCTGCTAGGGCTGCTTTAAGCTATACTGAGGAATTTTTCAGAAAAAATTATTTTGAGCCAGGATAAAAAGGTATTTTTATGAAAATTAAGAGGAGAGTATTTTGCAAAATGGGAATCTTAAGAGGACAGTATTTTGCAAAATGGGAGCCTATCAATTCTACTATAACTACATTTGGATTACAACATATTTCTAGCAATAAGCACTTAAAATTTTATAAGTTTAAAGCATATTTATAGTTTTGTGTGTGTGTGCACAATAGCATCACTTAAGAGATTATGAGGACTGTAAAATAATAAAGCACTAATTAGTTCATGTGGAAATCTAAAGTAATAGAAGGAACATTTATATATAGTTTATAATATATATGTGAAAAGCTAATGTCTGTAATTTACGTCTTCATGTACATTATGTTTTGAAGTTACTTTGTAAATTGTTACATTATAGTTAGTCAATTATACAGTAATTCAAAGATACACAACATCTTAATATTTCCCAACTAGGCTGACCAAACCTTCTATTAGCACAGGAAACAAGGGCCAAAAAGTATTTTTTATACCCAACTCTTTCATAAAAAATAGAAAGAGAAGAGATATATATATATTCCAAAAAAGCAATTAATGCAATATTTAGAAAATGGCATTTAATTTTTCACCCATACGGTCAAATACAGAAACTTTCTATAACTCTTGCCATAACAAAAGGAGATTTTTATTAAAGGACAATTGTTCAATGATGAAATCATTTGCTGTATGATTTGTAGAGCAGAGATTATTATATTTACATAAGCAAATTTCCAATTAGATTAAATGAGCAATCTGTGTCAAGACAAAGAATCGAAGGTTACACCAGTTTAAACAGGACTGAAACAGCTTTATATATATAAAAGTTAAACATAAGCACACATGTACAAATGAACTTTCTGAAAGACATTAATAAACTAAATTCAATATTTAACTACAGACATTTGTCAGTTTAAACACTTCTCAGTACTCTCTATTTTTACTACGTCCCTAATCAACTTTCTCTACCATATTCCAACCACCAACCATGATAATATTGTCTTTTCTCAGGAGGCCACAGACCTCTACTTGTAAACATCCCCCAAATCTATTTTCTAAATATTAGAGTACTGAATAAAAGATTAAAGCTATCTTTTAAGATATTTGCTTCTTTCAGTTTATACAGAGAAATTTGGATTATAAACTTATGACTTGGGTCTCGCTAGAGAAAAAAAAACTCATCAAGTTATTTCTAGTAATAATCCTCATGTGGTATTACAAATCATAGACTTAATTACATGAATTATAATTTACAATATAACTTATTACTCAAACACTCTTGCATATTCACCTGCTTTTCACTGACATTCTTACATTCTTTACAAACAATCTGGTTAACAATGGTTCCGTGATATAGACGATTGATGAGATCATGGCCGGAGGTCCCGACTAAAGAGATTTCCAAAGCACTAAAGAGAATTCGATTCAGTTCCTGTACGTCATGTTGCCTCATTTCCTATAAAACAGGTAACTTTTAAATGTAATTTTGTGCTTCAGATTTTTTAAAACAGACTGTTAAAGTGTTATTCGTTAAAAAACACAAGATTTATCAAGAAATCCAAAGGTAAGCCTTGATGGAATCTAAAGATGACTAAGCTAAATGAGCTGAGAACAGGTTAAGAGAGCACCACCTATTTTTATTTTTACTACAAAATGAAAATATGAATAGATGGTGTTCAGTGTGTACATATAACTCAAGTCACTTGAAAACAGGAAAGTGCATTTATTCTTGTGGAAACCTATACACGTGGCCAGGCGCAGAAAGAAGAGAGGAGGAAGCAACACAACAGGCACAGGGCAGTCTGTAAGAGCTCGCAGTGCACGCACAGCGAAATCTCACTTAGATCAGAGGGACTGGTGAACAGTCTGAATTATCAACACGTGAAAAGAACGAGAATTTATTGCTTTGACGTACAGACCAACTAAAAAAAGACTAACACAGTGCTACTGGAAAAATTCTGATGGAACTTGCTGTCATCCGCTGTGAGTCATGCAACTGTGTGTGAACACACTGAACTACTCCTTAAGAACAATTTATAAACCAAAGCCAAGGGGTCCACCATCGCTCAGAAGCGAAGAGGAACAAGAGCCAGCACAGGAGCCCGAGGAAGAGCAGCAGTGGGGAGAACCAGGAGAGTGAGGCCAGGGGAACCAGCAGGAGCTGGTGCTTTAAGGACGGGTGGTGCATGCTACTGAGAGTCCGCAGAGAACAGAGAGTCTCCTGGACTTGGCACATGGATGTCACGAGTGACTCTGACAAGAAAGGTAGAAAGGAGGTAGAGGAACAGGTGGAAGGTGCAGAAGTAGAGGCAGTGAGGGAAGACAATAAGTTTTGTGTGAAGAGAAGCTGATAAAGGGGATGAAAAGTGGAGCAAGATGTGGGACTCAGGACCTCTTTCTTGTTTTTTAACATATAAGACACTAGAGAGGTCAATTTCTCCAATATCACTGGCTCTCATGGGACAGAAAACTTGTAGAAGTTTTCAAGCTCTGTTTCTGAACAATCCTAAGTTTGGCAAACGTGCCTCAGAGACCCTCTCTACTACTGCAGGTCCAGTCCTGGAGGGTTTCCTGCAAGATTTTATTTAGAAGTAAATAAATAAATGTGGTTTTCTCAGCTTCAAGAAGTACAAAACCAGCAACTTAGTGGAAGCTCATTACCAAAAACAAAGCGAAATCTACTGACTGATGACTAAATTAATAAAAACAATGTGGCATATCCATCCAATAGAATATTACTTGGCAATAAAAAGGAATGAAGTGCTGACACATACTGTAACACAAATGAATCTTGACAACATTATTTTAAGTGAAAGAAGCTAGTTACAAAAGATCACGTATATGATTCCATTTCTGTGCAATGTCCAGAACAGGCAAATCCATAGAGACAGACAGTAGATCAGTGGTTGCCAGGGGCTGGGGGGGCGGGAGGGATGACTGCTAATGGGTATGGGGTTTCTTCTTGGGTTGGTGAAAATGTTCCAAAATTGGTTGTAGTGATGGTTGTACAACTCGGAATATACTAAAAAAACCACTGAATTGTACCCTTTAAAAGAATGAATCTTACGGCACATGAACCATATCTCAATGAAGTGGTTATTTTTAAAACAAGGAAAGAAACAGGAATTAACCCTAAGCACCTGCCCTGCACCAGAAATCCAGCATACACTGTTGAGGGCAAGTATTCTACCCCCTTGTACATCAGAGCCCAAGCCCTACCTCGTGACCACACAGCACCATCTAGTTAAGGAGTGTTCCTGGTTAGAAGACCACAGGTTAGAGTTTATTTTTGAAGGCAACGTAACATTATTCTGATCATTGCCTCTTTAAATTCTGTGACTGTCTCCCATACCTCTGTCTTTGCAAGAATACATGTATTCCATAAAAAATCGCAGACATGATTTTGTTTGATTATGTATAGCCAATAGCTCAAAGCACCTTTACTTGTTGCTGACAAATTGAGTGTTTGTATATGGTGAAATATTCTTTAGGAACTCAAACAGAAAAATGAGAGAAAGTCCGCACACAATAGGATACAGGAAGAAAATGAAGAGAGTCGGAGAAATGCTAGACAAGGCAAGTGAAAAGGCTTGTCAGAATGGTTTCACTGTTTTGCTGGAACCAAATGTTCATTTGGCACACCCAGATTCAAACACGAAAGCACATCATAAAGGCAGAAAGAATTATCGCCAGGCAGCTTTTAGAGCTGATTAGCAGTTTGCTATATAAATGTAAGTAATTTCCTTGTAATAGGGGTTGTATCTCAACCAGACTATATAAAGGGTAGAAACTGCAAAAATCAGCTCTTATACTTCTCCCTGTATCCACAACCCTCTCCTCAACCCAAAACCATCCCCGTTCATAAAATCCTGCATACAGCAAGCATCTAAAAATATATTGCTAACTTGTAATTATTTAATATAAGAAGTGAATATTTAAACAATATCTTGAAACCCTAAGACAAAATTAAAGGAAGTTAGATAAGATGATTAAACCAGTGTTTATTTTTATTGCTGATAACCTTTCCTTCAAGAAGCTGGCCTTCGTACCTCATTGCTGGTCCACCCAAAGCTGTCTGTGAGGTCAGCCGTGGATGCAGCTTCCTGGTCCAAGAGCAGAAGCTGAGCAAACAGCCTCTGTAACTGTAAGGGTATGATTCGAACCTGGATGAGACACAAACGCATTTCCAAATGAAGTCTTTGAAATGGTGTTTGGGTTTTTTAAAAGAATTGCATATGAGTTTTCTCATATCTCCTGATTCATTTAGTTTACTCAGGAGAAAGTTTATAAGTATTATAAAGGGTGAACTAAGATTCATTTTTCTTTGAAAATTCTAACTCAACCCCAAAATTTTAGCTATCTGGAGTTTTCTAACTTAACATAGTACAGATCAATATTAAAACCCAAATAGGCCCTAATAAACCACCCAACTGATTACACAGTCACAGTAATTTAAGTCTCTAATAGTTCATTCTTTCTCTAAAATATCTCAGATACAGACATACTCCCTATGAGGACTTTTCCAGTTACAAATATCTCACTCTGGAGTTGGGACCCCATTCAGGGCTGGCTGTACCCTGCCTCGCTTTCTTCCTGTGGGCTCCAAGCCCGTCCCTGCTTTATGTGCTGTGCTGAGGACCAGGGTGGACTGAGAATGCTGCTTGGTCTGCAGACCGGACTTAAGTATCTAAAGTGAGAATAAGCCTTTCAAAACTTTTAGGGCAATTTGACATTTGTCACAATATTTTTATTATATTCTACAAAAGTATGATCTGCAACAGATCAGGAATTAACAAAAATACACAGAAACTGGCTCTTTCACACAGGTAGTTTGAGATGCAGTGGCTAGATCATGAAAGACTCCTATTAAGAAGTACAGATTTTAGCCTGAGAGCGATAAACTTCTGAATGATGTTTATGCAGGGGAGAAACATGATTAGATATGCACTCATAATAAATCAAGTCCTTAATTTATTCCCAGAATACCAAATTGAAAGAATACTGGTCTCTATTTTTCATTATTGTTACAAATAAGCACATTAAGTAGATTTTTTGGTAGGTTAGTGTAGACGATTAGCAAATATCTCCTACACTAGAAGAAAGAATAAACATAGTGGAGTGGGAGGTATGCCTGTAAAGGGGCAGCAGCATTATATTTGGAAAAGTAATTCTTTTCTGCAAGGAAAATTCCATTACCAGGAGGGTACAGGCCAAGTCACTTTCTGGAAATAAAGATCATATTTGGTAATTAATAAAATTACTGATTTCTATAAATAAGAAACTTAATTCCTTCCTTAAAAAACATTTATGCAACACTCCAAAAACCCCTACACATCATAGATTTAATACCTTTGCATCAGGTTTATCCTTATCCTCTAACGAACCAAGCTCTTCCGGGCCAAGAGAAAATAAAGCTTCTAAACAAAAAAGTAGAATCAGAGATGTAAATAACATCATTTCATTTCAGAAAACTGTTTTAGAAAGCCAAGACCACTACTAAGGGAAATCAGTTAAGAATTCAGAAATCTGATTGTGACAGTATTTATACCCTCACTCTACACATCTTACTTTCAGGTAACATTATTCTTTATCTTTTTGTGAGGAAGACTGGCCATGAGCTAACATCTGCTGCCTATCTTCCTCTTTTTGCTGAGGAAGATTCGCTGAGCTAACATCTGTGCCCATCTTCCTCTATTTTACATGTGGGATGCTGCCAGCACATGGCTTGATGAGTGGTGTGTTGGTGTGCGCCTGGGATCTGAACCTGGCAACCACAGGCCGCCGAAGTGGAGCATGCGAACTTAACCACTATGCAACCAGGCCGGCCCCATGGGTAACATTATCTTTAACCATTGTCTCCATAAAGTGGCATGCTAAGATTTCAGTATGGAAGATTTATAAAAGGCAAAGTATGCACATAAAACTAAAAACAGTAATATCAAAAATCTCTGATGGCTTCCTATTGCCTATGGCAGTAGGTCCCCAAAGCCACATGAGGAATGTTAGGAAATATACAACATATAATAGTGTCACATGTGTTCATTTACAAGTCACACGTGAGGCTTTCAACCATCCTTTGATGAGAAGGAACACCTTTAACTCTGAGAACACGCCCTTCCTGATTTTGGTATGAAAATGTCTTTTCTCTGTTGAGGGTAAGAACAGATGGTGGCGAACTTACCAGAAAAAGTAAGTTGGCAACTCAGTGCCAGTGTTCAGAACTTTTTTTTTTAATCCAACATCTAGGTATGCCACCCAATGGGGCATATCGGAATCTTTGGGGAATCTGTATTCAAACCTAGATAGGTACTCTTCCTGGGGAACTTTGATATACCGCAGGGAGAAAAGCGATGAGATGGGTGTTTCTCCCACTGAACACAACTCCTGCCCTAGTGACTACTGTTGTGGATATTATATTCCTCCTGAGTTCTCGGCAGGAAATGGGTAAAAATGAACTACAAACCTCGAGGTGAAAGCATAAAACCATATAAGGACTTTCACAATCATCTCCCACTACTCTCCGTGTACCTTCATTGTAACGCATTGATCTGGGAGTACATTAGAAGCCAGTCTAGCCCTACTCCTTAAAATTCAATTCCCAAAAGCTCCAAATTTCCTCCCCCAGTTCTCTGCCAGTCCTGACCCTTTCCAAATTACACCTCCCCGTCAATAAGCATCGGGATCCACGCTAAGCCTTACAAGGAGTGCACCATCCACACTAAGACGTCACCCATGTGCCTGGCGGGTGATCTCCTTTGCTAGAGAGGAAGATGGCCTGGGGCTCTCAGCCCTGTTCTTGCTCAGTGGTACTCTCCATGACCAGTCCACCTCCCTGCCCACCAAACAGTCTTCTTCAGTCTCTTGTTAAGGCTACTTTTCTCCTTTAAGTTACTCTTTAACTTCAACTATATTAAAGCTTGGGAAAGTTTTAACCCCCCTGCTTATTAATGCTGAAAATTTCTAATGGTGGAATTACTGAAGGCATCAGGGATATCTTTTTACGGAAGGGATGAAGTCAAGGACAAGAGACACCACTCTGAAATCCCACATGCAGTCCAATCCATCAGAATGGCTCTGGGAAGGAGATAATGGTAAATATTTACTAAATCTCTGGAGGCAGAAAGTCTTTCTAAACTTAGAAGCAACAGAAGTGTCACAAAGAGTTGATAAATCTGGTAGTGGTGCGAAGGGGGATGTGATACCGGATACAGGATGAGCCAGGCTGTCTGCATCAGAATATGGAGACACTGTGGATAGCTGGTCCAACCAGGGCCATGTGAAGGAAAGTAACGTTCATATGAAATCCAGGGAACACAGAGACTAAGACCCTTGTGGAGGAAGCTAGTTTGCAGAGACGGGAATGGGACAAACATGTAGAGAGAAACAGGGCAAGAAATCAAGGGTCCAGTGAGGTCAGACTGGCTTCCTGTAGGTGGTTTCGGGGAGATTCCCCTATATTCTTACAATCAACCCCCTTTTTAATTGAGCTAATTTGAGTTGGTTTCTGTTCCTTGCACATAATTCCTTATCTAACATCTTGGGCCTTTGGAACTCACAATTTCCAGATTTTAGAAATGTAATATGAAGAAAAAGTTATACATGTTAACCTAACATCTCAGCAGGGTCTGGGACAAACAGTATCCATCAATCAAGGAGATTAATATTCCTGTAACAAATGTATGAATGTTCACCCAAGGGAGATAACTAAGGCTATAAACAGCATCACATCAGGTCAGGTTCTGAGGCCAAACAAGTTCAGACGAGATCAGTTTGTCAGAGTCTTCCGCATTTCAGAAGCGCACATAAATGATTTCAGACTGTATAAATAATGTGACAGCCCTCCCTACTCCAAAACGAAGGATACAATTATTTTGGGTAACTGTGGCTTAAGTGTTTATTGCTTCAGAGAAATTTTGAAACTCAAAAATACCAAGAGTGCAACAAAAAAGAAGGATAGCACTCATGACAAAATTGTCTTTATGTTTCATTTTAAATTATAGGAATTAGTTGGGGCCGCCCAGTGGCGCAAGCAGTAAAGTGCGTGCACTCCGCTTCAGCGGCCTGGGGTTCGCAGGTTCGGTTCCCGGGCGCACACCGACGCACCGCTTGTCAAGCCATGCTGTGCAGTGTCCCATATAAAGTAGAGGAAGATAGGCACGGATGTTAGCCCAGGGTCAAACTTCCTCAGCAAAAAAAGAGGAGGACTGACAACGGATGTTAACTCAGGGCTGATCTTCATCACGCACAAAAAAATAAAAGTATTAAAATAAATAAATTATAGGAATTAGAAAAGAATTATATTGCCTTAATTTTTCATTTTGTTACTAAACACTACTGTGATCACACAGAATATATTTAAGATAATTAAAGCTTCAAATTTCTCTGCAGAGAGAATTATCAATTTATGTCTTACATTAACAGATACTGTGTTATACACCTTTAAGATACCTTGTGATTTTGCATAATTAATTACAGGTAGAGATGATGGTACATATTACTAATCAAATGCACGTAACATAGCATACCTCTGAATTCAGGTGTGAAATGAAGAGTCTGAAGAAGGGAATTGAGGTAACAGGTTCCACCCTGATTTCTGATGCCGCTTAAATTAGTGAATTCTCT